GAAAATAAAGCACTTTTTAAAAACACCCAATGAAAAATGCACCTTTAAGGACTTTTAAAAAAACGAAAATAAGCACCTTTAAGCACTTTTTAAAACGCTAAGCACCCTGATAATGTGACTGTCACGATGTGTGGGATTCGTGGCAAAAATCGACATGATAAAGAAAAAAAATTTTTTGTTTTGATAAAGGGAAAATTTAGCAATTTATTTAATAAAAACCAACGAAAAAGGCTTTAAGGACTTTTTAAAAAAATTAAAATCGAAAATAGCACCTTTAAGCACTTTTTAAAAACGCTGCGCACTCTGTTACAATGTAAATTTCTCACATTATGAGCCAATGGATTTAAAAAAATAAAATTGAAAAAATTTCCAAAAAGATAAAATATTTCTAAAGAAAGAAGAAAAGAAAAAAAAAAAACACTTTACAAAACTTCCCTCTATTAAGCTATTAGATGGACACGATCGGGATTTTAATTTAAGAAACAGTAACCTTGTGGTCAGTGTGTACTACGATTCGAATCTATTCGGACGCGTCCTTTGAATCATCTCTGATCCCAGAATATGAATTACACTTCACTTTATCAAAAACTTATGAAACAACTGCTTGTCTTTCCCTCGCCTCAAAATCTGTCCACATAAAAGAATAATTAACAAAAAACATTTAAACAAAATGTATACGAAAGATTATATCAAACTATCATTAACGTTTCCAATTTTTTTTAGAAGATTTGGGTTTAGAATATCAATAAAATCAGGTTTATTTTAAGAATTACTAAAAATTGACATTTTATCAACAAAAATGACTCAACTAAAAACATCGATTGTCACTAAATTCTTAAAAAAAAATCATTTTCAACTTACTTAAAAAATGTGTTTAGAACTATAATAATAAATAGGAAATTATTTATTTTAAAATATTTAAGTTTCCATGCATAACAAATATTAGTTATCAATAAAATTAAAATTTTAGGAATTACGAAAAATTGGAATTTTTCCGTCAAATATACCTAATTTAAAAACATGTGTGGCAACTAAATTCTAAACAAAAGAGATCGAATGTTTTGTACCACTCACCTCGTTAAAAACTGAATTAAGTCCTAAGTAAGAAATCACACCAGCTTCTCAGTTTCATAATTTTTTTTTCCCGAAACACTACTGGAGCATTTTCCGTTAAAGAATATTTTCCTCAGATTTTAAAAGGACTGAGTTGAAAGCGGTTCCTAGTCGCCGGCCTCTTTAACACCACGTGATTAACACGCAAAACAGTCCTCGAATATTTTTTTTTCTTTTCCCTTCTGATCCAAACACTGCAGGGAAAAACACGAATAAAAAAAAGAGGGAAACGAACTCTTCTAAGACACTTGATGTTAACTGCATCAGATATGTTCTTTCAGCATCAACTTTTCTGGTAGGACAGAAGTTGGCGAGTTTTCGTTCCTACTTTCCACAAGTGACGTCAATAGAAAGCTGCCTAATAGCACAGCCAATCGGATATGAAGGTGGGGCTTATTTAGGCGGTTAGAGAAATATGTGAAATGCATGTTTAATTTACTTTCCTTTCAGAGTGTTCTGGTTCTAAAAGGGAAATTCCGATACTGTGAGAACACCAACTTATGACGAACGTTTCGCTTTTAACTCAAATGAAATGCCTTCAGTTAGTGCCATTTAAGAAAAAAAGCAGATGGAAGATACTTAAACAATTATTCTTCAGTAGCCAAAGAACAACACCTTTAAAGAGTCAATACAAATTATAATTAAAAGATACATCTCTTTCAAATTTCGAGAGAATAAAGTTGACATTTTTAACGACAGAATCAGACTACATATTAAGATCCAAACGTTAAAAGTTACGATTATTAGTAAAGGTTAAGTCATCTTAACTCGAAGAGCACGAAACCTCCAAAGATTACAAAACATGTGGGGGATTTATCCAGGTTCTCAATCAGAGAATTCCATAAATACGGTTATTTGAAGAAAAAACAAAGTTTTAATTTTAAGGTTAGTTTATCAGGGTTTTTGGATAAAACTTTCTTAAAATCTCTAAAATTATATGGTAAATTTCAAAAATCCACTTTTAGTTATTTATTTTTACATTATTCACTATGATACTAATTAGCAATGACTCCATTACTGGTTAGTTAAATATTAACGATCTAAAAATCTACCACACATATTTAAATTGAATTTTAAGAACACATGCTTAAAAAAATCAGATTTTTTCATATTACTTTCTCCAAAAAGAAAATTTAAGAAAAAAAAGATTTACACTTACATATTAGATTAACATATTTATCAAAAAATAAATTTAACGGAGATATCTAATAAAAAACCAAACCGAAATTGTAAACTATTTCATTTTTACGTGTAAATTATAGAATATATTCTTTCAATAAAGCAATTTCTTATTTTTATTACGTACATTTACTAACATTAAAAAAAAAAGTGTGTTTACTAACATTTAGTAATTGAACTTTTTTTTTTTTTTAGTGAATACATACAAATTACAGTTTTGTCTAAATGCGATTTTTCATTAAACACTAAATTAGAATTTTTTTTTTTGAACACAAGAATTCGAATGGATAAAATAATTGCACGAAAGAGTGAAATAAGTTTCGATTATCTAAAAATTTAAGATTAAAAGCTCTGTGAAGAAAACATTCTATTTTTTCTTAGAAAATTGCAACTTCGAAACTATAAGTCTGACTTTTCCAGATCACTGGAGAACTTGTTGCTAGAAAAAAGGACCCCATAAGGAATTCTGCACAAGGTCCCTACTTCTCTAATTCAATTCCTCCACTACTTTTAACCTCAAAAGAAATTAAAAAAAAAAAAAAAAAAAACTTATACAGAATTCTTTTTTAATTATAATTTTTCAATTCTCATGCAGGTATTGAGGTAGTTTTTTTCTTTTCAAACGGAAAAAAAATAACTACCTTAAACAATGTTTACTTTGCATTATTAACCATTGAACTCTGAATTCAGCTTTGTATAACAATATATTTGTATTAATGTCAGCTCTATGAAATTGTGCGAATAAAAGCTTTACAAATGCTGAAATCTTTTTTTCATTTTCTTTCCAATACTCAACATTTAAATTTAAACTAAGACATGCAAAGGATCCACACCACAATCTTGGTATGAAAAATTCAAAAGGTGAAACACGAACCTTATGTGGTTGTGAAGCAGATTTTCAGAAATATGGGGGATAAAATTCAAAATATCACCCACATAAAAGAAGCTTACTGTTCGAAAACGCTGGTACAGATTCGTGAATGTTCTCTTAATAAATTATACCGGGAAGGAGTTTCGTACATAAGAGGGATAACACATATAAAGGAAAAACAAAAAAAGAATACACTTTAGATGACGCAAATTAATATTTAAACGGAAAGAAAAAAAAAACGCGTTAGTAATCTTAATAACCACTAATAAGAAAGACTTGATTAAAAACATCAAAACCAGTTTGATTGCCATCGAAAACAAGATATTAAGATTATTCAAAAAGAATTTCCCTTTATTTTATTCAACAACGTTGACACAGTTTGGCAACGATAGAAATAAACCTGGAAATATTTTCATTTTTGCTCTACTAAGAATAAAATTTATTTTAACAGAGAAAAAGAAAATGCACACTTTTGTTTCATGTTACAAACTATTAGAAATATCATTTTAGCTTGATTTAGACTTAATTTCTCAAAATTTGAGAATAAAAACTTAAGTTGAGACTTACTTAAGTTTACTAGAATTTCCTTAGAGGATGGGGCGGTAATCTTGTCCACCAATAGAATAATTAACCCTCTTTTTGACCCTGTAATGTTAGCCAGTGTTTTTTTTTTTTTTTTTATATCATCTACACTTCTTGAAAGTTGGTCCCACCAATAAGAGCCACAGCTAAATATTCGACTTTTGAAAAAAAAATTTATGAACAATACGATTTATAAATATGTATAATCATGAAATTTTGGGATAATACTAAAGAGAAATCTCACCTATAATATTAAAATGCTCTTTACAATAAAATGATATTGGGAAAACGTTAGAAATAGATTTTTACCTTGCATACAGTTACAATAAAAAATGAATTTTAAGTATGAATTTTGATTTTTATGAGCAGATTTCAGATGTCTCTCAATTCGTTCTGGTTTCCTTTGCTCTCTTCAGCGATTACACTCATTTAGAAGCATTTAAGAGAGAATTTTGTTTCGGATGTCTTATGCATGTAACGGTTAATGGAACACTCTGCATAGCACTTTAAAGAGTAATTTCTTATTCTAAATAAGAACTGGGAATATATTCCAGTTTATTATTTATCTACGTCAGTGGAATTATTTATATGAATCGAGGAATTTTTGCACATGATTATATAACTTGCTTAAACTAGGAAAATTTCATGAAAGTATTTTAAGATTTGTTTTTGATATGAGAAAAATTCGGAATTGTGAGGTAAGCAATTTTTTTTTAATCATTTTAAACAATATAATTTTTTAAAACAAAAATCAAAAATTTTAACAGAATCTATTAAATAGTTTCGAGTAAAAAATAAAAAAAGCCATATTATCTACTTTGCATTTATCTATTCTGTTCAAGTTTTGGATTTAATCAATTAAAATGTTAAATTTCATTAACTTTACAATCAAACAAACTTTAAAGGTGTACCAAAAATAAACTTTTAGTAATGCCATCTATAGTTTGTGGAAAGTAAGAACTCCCCTAGTCATTTGCCTGGACCTGTGGCGGTGACTATAGTAACGAGGTATAACTATTTCAAGTCTGGTAATTATTTCAGACAGGTTTTGGCTTGGATCAGCAAGAGAAAAGGAATATTTTCCTTCGGTCTAATGTGTTAGTCCTACAGTTAAGAGAAGCTACCCTTCCTGAAATGTGCTATTCTTGTTTTCATAGCAGCAGCTGGCCTCAGATTTCGCGGGGGGAAATTCTTAACATAGACAAACTATAGGTTGGCAGATATGTCAAAAACCAAATCAAAACAAAAGCCACAGTACTGGAAAGAGTTCTTTTATTTCATTTTTTTTTATATAATACAATATTGAAGGAATATACAAAGAATTTATCTGGTAATAATAAACTGCAGAATCGAGTAAGACTCAATTTTGCAGAATATAACAACCCCAGGCGCTACACCTCAAAATAAAACTTGATATGCAGAAATTTCATTTCCGATCTTATCTATTGCTCAGCAATCAAATCATATGTCCCCCCCATTTCTTTATGTTACAAAATTATACATTTATAGCACCTTATCACACTGAATTAAATCAGATAATCACCACTAGAATGCAGCACAGTTCAAAATAAAAGATAATTTAACAATACTCAACTTTTTATATATTATATTTTTTTCCGCTTTGTTTTTCACTAAAAAAGTTTCAAAGTTCTTATTGCTTTACAAACAAATTGTTCAAATTGCAGTGGTTCCATGTAATCGGTTTAAAAAGATTTTTTTCTTCTTCCATACATGTTATTTTACACATGAAAATATTTAATAAAAATAAATCTACATAAACAATTACACGTTTGGCTTTTTTCACTGAAGGTAAAAACCTACCCATGGTATAACAGCTAAAAAAATATTGTAACCATCACCCCCAAGCATTTCCGAATTGCAGAAATTCATTTATTTATTTTGTTTTTATGGTCCTTTAGGAGGACTTTTTTGGAGAGAGAGGTTGTGGCACTAGGAGATTCAAAACTCTAATGCAAAAGTCCTAAACTTTTATAATATGCCGACAAGAAGTTTGAAGGACAATTGCAAGAAAAATAAATCTTTTTTCTTTTTTTAACGGCGTGAGGGACCCCAGGCAACGGGCTTGGGTGGCACATCTCCCCCTGTACCGAAGGACGGGAACTCTTGAGTGTTGGTGGTGTCGGGAGCTGCACTCTTCTTGTCCCAGGGGGCACCTTTTACTACAAATCCTTTGTCATTGTAATGACCTTCATCGGAGTCATGGGTCCCATTACGACTAGGAGGGTGCGTGTATTGGCGCATCAGGTCCCTTTCCTTCATATCTTGAACCTGAAACACAAGAAAACATTAGAAATTGACATAGATAAAAAATTAGCAAAAGAAACATTTCTGAAAAATAAGTCATAATAAAAATTTTGGTTCGAAAATGAAGTAACAATAACAGGGCTGGAATTAAGGACGAAATTGCCTCTAAAATTAAGGGCAATTTAAGGATGCTGATTCTCTAATGGGAGCAATTTGTAATACCAAGATGGATTTTCCAGTTATACAATTGGTAATAGTTAGTAGGAGTTAGTAGTAATAGTTAGTAGTTCCTTCACTTAAGTGAAAAAAGAAACATTAAAAAAATTAAAAAAAAAAAACAATCCTGCAAATGCTGCAAGCTCATGGGCGCCTGACAGAAAGAGACAAAAAGAGGGAGATTGAAACTAACATGGCAAAGATGCATTAAGGAAGATGTTAGAGCAGGTTTAACTGGATGGGAAGAATTGTGTAGCCTGGCCAAAGACAGGAGGGTGTGGAGAAAAAGATTCTCTGCCTCATGTGCCAGTTCAGCACGAAGAGGATAAGTAAGTACACAATTTTTTTTACACAAAAAAAGACAATCTAAATATGGAAAATCGTTAAGCAGTAAGTTACAAATAACAAGGATTCTCTAGTGAAAAACAAGAGTATGATATAGTGATGAGGAGGGAGTAGAGATATAAGAGCTTTTTAAATATTTCTCCCACATCGAATGCTTTTATGTCACCAAACCAAGAATAACTGTCTCCAATACTGGAAGTAGATTAATATTGTACTTGAAGCACTATGAAGACTGTTGTTCATTTTGTTATTTACTTCGTTTCACGGCATGCAACGTAATTTTTGAATTTGATATTTCTTTTCATCTTTTTTAGAAAAATATTTTCTCTTCTAGTTAACTTCAACAAAAATTTGGAGGAAAAAAAAAATCACAAAAATTTTAGGACATTTATTGAAATGTTTAATAATTAAGGATATTTAAGGACATTTAGCCTTTTTTTTTTAAGGCAGGGGTGATTGTGAGACCAAGTCAAAATTCCGGAAAATTTCTTGAGTAATAATAAAAAAAATTTTAAAAAAAAACCAGTTTAAATGGAAAAAATTTAAACAAGTTTTTTTCCCCTTTTTCTCAATCTTTCTTAGTTACTTAATATATGTGTAAAATTGTACCCGTACTTATACCATTTACACATTCCTATGATAACCTGGAGAAGTAATTGAAACTTACAAATATGTTTATGATAACTATTTACCGATAAAAAATTAATATTAATCTTGAATATAAAGCTTATAAAGTATCTGTCTCTCCCTTACAAACAAATAAAATAAACTGTTTTTTTAAGTTCCACCTTTCAAAATTTGATTACCGGAAACTTTAGTGATCAATGATTTTTTGAAACGTCTGCACCTTCGATCTCCGGAAACTTCCGGATCAAGGTTAGCGAAGAATCGGGAAATCCGGATTTTTTCCGGAGCACAATCAGCCCTGTTAAGGACAACTGAGCCCTGTAATAAACACAAAAAGACATTTAAAACAGGTTAAAAATGAAGTGATTGATAAAAAATAAAATGAACACAGTGAACATTATAAATTTATATGAAGGAAAAAGAAGCACTTCTTTAGACCCCCCTCCCCCCAAGTTTATACCTACTAAGGTGGACTAATTCAAGAGAACAGACGATGTCTATTATGATTCGGCTGTTGAAGGCAGAACGGCTCATGTCATATATCACATCGTAGGGCGTGAAGGGAGCAAGACCATAACATACATGTGATTATGATATTGAAGGGATTAAAAATTAATGATTGTTTCACATTAGTAATTATAAAATTTTACAATTAATGCAACCAAGCATTTATTTCAATCAACAGTCTTTTTATGTTAAATTTTCAACACAGTATCTTTACTTTGATATGTTAAAAAATAAATAATTTAACTTATTTACAGGGTTCCCACTCTTTTAACAAAGCAAAAATTAAGGACTTTTAAGCACTTTTTTTGAAAAATTAAGGACTTTAAAAATAGTATGATTGTTTATCATCGAATATGAATGCACCACAAGTGACAGCATTAATTATTTACCTTTCTTAAAAAGAAAATCAATAAATAAAGAAAATAATAAACAAATTTTTTAATGTAAGTACTGAAAAATTGTATTAATTAACAGGGCTCATCAAATTAGGACCAGACAATTTTTGAAAACCCGGGTCGAGTTTTTTAAAAATATTTTCAGATTGTTAACCTTCCGTTAGTCGCGCGCACCTCACAGGTGCATCCCTACTGCACTTCCACCTCCTTTGCCGTCAATAGATTTTTCCGGGGGTCGAGCCTAATGTTATGTTCCTAACTTTGGATTACTCAAATGTCTTTGTAAAACCGACCTTAGAACATGTCGATGGAGAGTTGGAATCGCTCAAATCACCCCTCTGGCGCAGCGCGACCATTGACGCAAGTATTATGGATATCATATTTTTATGAATTAAATATATATATTTTATCTCATTTTCTGTCCTTCTCAACGTAGCAGGTATAAATGGTCAAGTTATATACACAGAAAATGGTTACGGAGTAAAAAACCGCAGAACCTTCTTGCGTCAGTTGGCTGAACATCTTGTGATGGAGGAAGAGATCCGAGGCGAGAGCAAGAAAAATTTATCTTCGGTACTTCGCTAAATAAGTTTTTTGATATTTGTCTCTCTAAAGAGTCTTAAATTGGTAGCAATTAACTATTTAAACTAGACTAAATTTCATTTGGCTTTCAAAAAATCAGAAACACCTCATAGGTGCAACGCGACTAACCATGTCGGAAACAAGTGCGCGACTAACGGAAGTTTAAGGGTTAAAGACATCTATAAAACTAATCCATCCTCCATTTTTAACAATTTAATTGAATTGTAAAATTAGGATTTATAATCTTTAATTTTTTTTTGTAGTTTTAAAAAAAAGCAAATAAAGAAATTTGAGAAAAAATTATTACAAATTTCACTATTGGACATGCTTCACACATTCAGCTGTGGGCCAATCTTGCTAAATATTCAGTTACACCAAAAAAAATTCTTCTATTAATAAAATGTTTCATTTATAAGGGTATATATTAAGTGAATTAATACAAAGAATTAGAGTTATGCATGAAAGTAGTTTTCTTAACTGTGTTAACTTAAATTAGGCCCTATTTCAAGTAAAAACAGACCATACTAATATCTAAGCACCTTAAATCATTCCACTTTTTTTTCATTAAGCGGATAAGAAAATTTTTTGAGCCATTGTACCAAATATTTCTATGAAAATTTTTATAGAATAAAAATACAATTATATTCGAGAAGAGTTATAATTTTCAAACCAATATGTTTAGTCGTTCTTGGTGTAACATAAATAAAAGAGTCTAAAACAATTTTTTAAAGGTATCAACACATCTCTATGGCCCTTGCCTGTAGCCCCCTCACACATATCCCTTCTTGTCTCTCTAAAATGCCCAACTCTTGATGCATGGTTTTATTCTCGGTCATAAAAGAACAATTTTTTTGTTATAAAAAATTGAACTTAAAAATTTTCTCTATCAACTATAGTGACCCAGTGGCAGAATTTTTTTCAGGCTTTCTGTGACAAACTTTCATAGCACTCGCATTCTTCTGCGAGATACTTTTAATTATAACAATTACTTATTTAAAGAAACAGAAAAACTGTATTTACAAAAGAAAGTATAGAATAAAAATATTTATAAGTTCTTTTAATTATAAATGCATTTCTTTTTTAATTATAAATGCATTTCAAATATTATAGGCGATATTCTCGCTTTTTGTAAGACTAATTATTATAATACACACTAATTATTTCCTCTTTCGAATTCTGTAAATCCATTACATAAATTAAAATTCGTAAATAAATTAAACAATAATTAATTAAAATTCGTATATAAATTCAAAATCTTAAAACCTGTGGCAGTAAAACCTAAAATAAGGATCGACGAAAAAATCATGCAAATAGGACTCTTTAAAAAAGAAAAGCTCAAATAAGTGTTTCTATGTTATAATAAATAATACCGCATTAAAAATATCGGATTTTAAACTTTGTGGAAATCGATAGCAACCACTGCCAAAAAATCGATATAAAAAACAATTCAATCATTACGTCAAAAAGTAAATGCGCTATTCGAATTTCCCATAATGTCTAAAATATAACTGAACATTTAAAAACCGCAATAAAATCAATATTAATAACTGCTGAAAATACAATCAAACACCACATAGTTTTATGATACTATTGGCGTAAATTGAGTGTGTCAAAAAGTGATTATTTAAATGCGTGATTCCAATATCATTTGCCAAAATTATATCAACTGAGAAATATTGGAATTTTAAAAACCACCTGAAAATCAAAAGCACTAGCTAAAACTACTGAAAACTAGAAAAAACAATAAAATCGTCACGTTAAAAGTAAGTAATCAAACGAACGATTTAAGTAACAGAAAAACTGTATTTACAAAAGAAAGTATAGAATAAAAATATTTAAAATGATAGACGTAATCAAACGAGCGATTTAAATTAACTGTGTAATAATATTTTATTTAAAGTAAAACGAATTTTTTTTTTAAGAAAAGGGATAATTTGCAGTAATTACTGTCGAATAAACAATTGAAACACCATATGGATTAACGATCATATCGGCACAAACTGAGTGTAACAAAGAGTAATTTCTCGAATGCGAGATTTAAATTTTATATCTTATAATATCGTTTTTTTTTTTTTTAAATCAAGAAAATATCAACAGTAATAACTGAGCAATGTAAGATTTTAGGATTTTAAAACGAAGTTAAAATTCATAGCAATAATTGCAACAAAAAAACAAATAATAATAATTAAAATAAAAATTATCAACACACTACATAAATTTGCACTGGAATCGGCGCGAGTTGTGAGAGCCGATTCCGTAAGACACAAATGTACGATTAAAATTTTTCATGCGCGTTAGACGATATTTGATTAATAAATTTTAATTTGATTAATAAATTTCAATATTAAATCCATTTCATTTAGACAAAATTTAAAAAGAAAGCGACAAATGTGCCGCAATGACTGATTAATTTGTTTACTACAAATCTGAATTTGTTTCCTCCGTTTTATTAAAATGTAAAACATGGGTTCTTTCAGGAAAAGAAGAAAAAAAAATGAAAGAAAGAACATCATTACTACAGCGAACTAATTTTTCTGGTTTAATGTTGCAAATTTCAAACGAGGATAGAAAAATCCCGATTATCCCCCCCCCTCCGATGCATAAGAAAGGCATCTTTAAAAAAAAAAAAAATTTTGCAGAAAAGGGGAAAAAAAAGAAACTTCTTTTAAAAAGTCTGAAGAAAGGAAAATCAAAAACTTTCCCTTCCATACAAAAAATCTGTCTGTAAAAACTTTGTAAAGTTCTGGGACAAAGTTGCCGTGTCACAGCAATTCTGTTACAGGGTATAGTAAGGCTGAAAAATTATGGACTTTTAAGGACCTTATACCAAAATTAAGCACTATTAAGGGCCCTTAATTTCCAAAATAAAAATTAAGCAGTTTTTAAGGACTTTTAAGGACCGTGGGAACCCTGATTTACCAAAGAAATATGGAAATATTACTACAATTTTGTAAAGATTTATATTGTACAATACAATTATAAACATTAAATTTTTCTCTTAAGAGAAAAAATTGCCTACAAATTCATTGGATAAAGATAACATATTTTTGATATAGGGTACATAAAAATTCAAATTTAGCATTTTTGATTTTAGGACAAAACAGTGTAGTCGCATACAGATTGAGATATCTTATTTTAATCAATGTATTTAATCCAGTATCAAGTTTGTAATTAATACAATTTTATTTAAAAATATATATATTTTTTTAAAGATTTTTAGAATATTACAAAAGTAAATTAATAAAAATGAAATTTCAGAAAATTAATGGGTACTATTATAATTCAGACAAGGGCATGAATAGAATAATGGAGCATATATGAAAACTTACATATTCTTCCTCCAAATTCAAAAGATAATCCTTAGCATCCAAAACATCGTCTTCATCTCCTTGGATAACGACCACGTCTGGATCTGGATCATTTTGTCTGGGAAATCTGATGTCCACTTTATATTGATCCATTATTTTCAATACGTTTCGACCACGACTTCCAATAATGCGGGAATGAATGCGAGCATCGATTTTAACTTCCTCCTTGTACATATCTTCCTACAAAGGAAAAAAAATATATAAATACAATTTTTACTTAATTTTTTTAAAAAAAAATCTTACTTACGTAATGTGTTGTATTTTTGCAACTCATATATATACATTTTAATTATACACACACGGTTGCCACTCAAATCTGGAAAAAAAATTCCTGATGTTTTCTCTGTACATATTTATTATACCCAATGTATAAAAAGGAAACAGCGATTACTGTGTTCTTTTGAGAGCTATATTGGGCTAACCATACTAGTCTTAATTGCAAGAAAAACTTAGAGGGAAAAAGGAACAGCTGAACATACTTAAATAATGCTATAGTAAATGAAATAGTTTAGTATAGTTGGAATAACATCCTTAAATATCTCATAGATCATGTTTTGAGTGGCCACCCTTTTTTAAAAGACAAAAATTAGAAACGAAATTCCCTTTATATTCCCAGTTTGTAAAGAAAAAGAAAAAAAAATCTAAATTTCCCGCATTTTCCCTGTTAATTTTAAATTCCCTGTATTTTTCAGGTTCTCAATGGAGTAGCAACCCTGCCACCTGCAGTCTCTGAGTCATCATCGGACGAATAGCCCAGTAAAATGACAGGAGAAGAGAAAGCACAAAAGTTAGCATTCACACAGTTGTCATTAAAAAACTAAAGAATAAAGGACAGTTCTTGAGGTAAACGTCTACATAACTCTGTTGGCACGCAGGACAACCTGTTAAATTTTTGACCCCAATTCTATATAAGTGTTTGTGCGAGTAGTCATGTCCAGTAAGCAAAAAAACTAACAGACTGCGAAAAGGAATATTATTACGCATGATATTCCACTTCTTTTACACCGCTGCATCATTTTGTCGTAAATTAATTATGCAGAGGAGAATCAAATTGAAAAATACAAGATCTAGCCTTGGACTTTAGAAAATCACTATTTCAAAAACTCAACATTCCTTTAATAGTTGTTTAAAGAAGTTTAATTTTTTATCTTTAGAAGAGACACTAATACGTAAAATTTTTACATCTAAAAAATTTGTTATAAAATATTTTCTTTTTAATACTTTCTTTCTAAAGTTAATGACTACTTTCACACATATACATGAGGGGAATTCAAATGAAACCCGGTCACTAGTGTAAAGTAACGGTAACAATTTTATTAACCCACAAATGTAGTTATACACAGTACACACTCATAAATATTTACCAAAACTGTTGGCACATTTATCCGATCACGCAACTAGTCGGTCGATTCCATCTGTGAAGAAGCTAGTAGGCTGCCGTCGGATCCAGGCTTGGACCAGTCACACACGTCGTTGTCCACTGTGACTTGATGTCCGCGAATAGCTTGTTTTAGAGGTCCAAAAACATGAAAGTCACACAGTTAAAGTTCAGGATTGTACGGTGGATGTTCTAGCGTATCTTGTTCTCCATCACTCCTTGTTGTTCCTGCTTAATCAACTGCATGTTCCGCAGTGAACGATAACTTGCGTGACCACCTTCTCTTTGGCGTGCAATCACGCGCTATGCAATGTCAAACATTCCGCATGGGTCAGTATCTCTACCAATAGATGGTGCCGCCATACATGCAGTAATGTGGTGCCCCATTACGCCTAATGCAAAGTTAGAAGCACTGACCAGGTTTCATTTGAATGACCCTCATAAATATATTCTATGCTGGTTGCTAACACTTCTACCATTAGACAACCAGTTGTCCAATGAAATAGAAATAAGAGTTAACCTGCATAATGTTATTTATAATAAACATTTAAATTAAAAGAAGTTCTTGAGTTAATCACAATCTATATCACACTGGCAGCAAAGGGTGTTACTAGCACCAAACTCTACTTTAGTTGAGCCAACACCTCCTAGAAGAAAGGTCTCAGCACGGATCAATTTAGTAGTCCGACGCTACGAACATAAACTGCACAGTGTATACAAAACAAGAAAGATGTCACTATGTTCGGGCTCCTAAGCTGCGCAGTTGTGGTAAATATATAATATGTCATTACATTCGAACTACTAAAGGGACAAATTTCTTGTTTACAGTAATTCCTGCTTAGGCCTTTTTCTAAGTGGTATTGATTGGACATCATCCATATCACACTGGTGGCACAGATGGTCATCGGCATAAAACTCTGCTCCTATCTGATGCTAATGTTTTTGCAGGTAAGAAGTCCTGTCTAATTGTCATATAAGAGCAACTTGCTGATTTACTTATATTCGACAATAGCGAATGTGTTTTTTTGAGAAACAGAATACAAACAAAATAGTTGTGCTATATTTCTTAAGCTCTTGCACAACTGCAAAAAGTACATCAACATTTTAAGTTGTCAAAAACCTATTTTTACTTTTTCGTGACCTGCTTACAGTAACAATGGATTTAATTATGGACAATGTCTAATTTATTAAAGTTTTAATTAGCATAAAGCATAACTAAGTCCATTTACTTAAAAGTACAGTAAAACCTTGTTATTCCAAGAAATTTGAACTAATAGAAAATTTAGATAATCCAGATCATAGAGGTAGCTATTTTTTTTAAAATACATTTTCATAAAAAGTGCCAGCACTTTAATTTAGACAATCATTTAATATATGTTTTCATACCAAATAGGTATAAAGATATTTTATTTTTAAATTCATTTCCAGAATTACCCAAAGAGAGGTACACCTCCACTCCTTTTTAGAATAAATTTTACTTCTTTTAAGTTTAAAGTATCTAATTATGAAATGCTAATTTCCATTAATTTATGTTCCTTGACAAGCTTCATAGGACTTTCTACCAATTTCACTCACACTACAATACTATATCTTTCTTGAACAGATAAATCATTCTTTTTTGAAAGACAGGATATTTAAATTAATCTTTAGGAATAGGAAAAGATGACTGAAATTAAGAAAATAAAAATTTTCAATTTTCTTTTGTTGCTCATCTTTAAATTAGATTTACGAAAAGAGTATAGAATTAGCTTTCTAAATATCTCACAGCCCTGTGGAATATCTCCATCGGTAAATAATAACTTAAATATGGATAGAAACAATCGAATAATTAGAAAAACTTACAAAGTAACTCTAGCATGTAACTAAGTCAACATAAAAATTTTTGATCAATGCATTGGCCCTTCCTTAAAATTATAAATTTTTATTAAGAGAAAAAAATTAGAAATAGTAGAAAGAAAAGGATTAAACATGACAGGCTTTCAGGACCTACCTTGGAAATGGGTAGGTCTCAGAATTTTTACACAAAACAGCTAATTTTAAATATTAGTAATAAATTTTTTTAATGACAAATTTCTTAAAAATGAAATTTTAGTTGACTTGCAATTTGATCTTATATAGCTTTTTCTATTTAGATCAATTTATTCACATAAAATAATTTAAATTTAGCTATACCAGACCAACAGTATAAGCCGTGCATGTCGTAGCTGAATAAGAGTTTGTCATTGAAATTTTTTTGGGGGGTTCTTTAGAATCTATTTTTGTCCTGGGGTGTAGTACTTCAGATAACTGAAGTTTTATTGTAAGGTATTTTAGAACATTATTTAGAAACTTTATCCAAAGTCTGGGTATACACGTACCTGCTCCTTAACCAATTTCAAGATAGCATCTCTCGCTGCTTCAGCATCTTTTTCATATCCAGTGACAGTGATCACTTTGTCACTAGCCCCTTCTCTTTCTGGGAAGTTGATGTTAACGTTGAATTCTTTTCTAATCTTTGTAATCACAGCTCCATTCCTACCAATTATTTTGGGGTGGTATTGTGGATCAACTTCAAAAGATAACTGGAAGCTTCTCAGAAGCTGAAACATAAAAATGTAAATAATTAGTCAAACTTCATTCTGAACAAAATTATTTTACTGCAACATAATGTAATTCCCAAGTGAATGATAACAAAGAAAATAAACATTTATTTAAATCTTCAATTCTAATAATATTTTTATCACTCATGTATTTAAAGAAGTTTAATAATGAAGGCATCGATCAGAAGAAATAATAAATTATAAATTAATGTAATTTATGTTTTACAAAAAAAGAAAAAAGACAGCAATAAAATCTTTTGAACGGGGTATCTGCTTCATTTTAGATTTTCAAATTCATGACTTTCCATGATTAATTCCAAGAATTTTTCATGACTTAACGTAGTTACTATTTTCTCGGACAAAAGCACAATAAATTAAAAAAAGCATTATAATTACATTCATTGAAATGATAGGTATAACCAAAACTGTTATACTCTGCATCTTCATATTTATAGATTTTAAAATTAAAAAACAAAGTAAAGAAAGAGTTAAAGAAATAAAATAGCTGAAAAAAATACAAAAGCAAAAAAATTTTTCTTCATTTTTTCTGCAGAATTTTTTTTACATCGGAAAGGAAAGAAAATGCTAGACTTTTCTGTTCTCATTTTGTAATAAAAAAATTAGCCAATGACTGGCTTGCTTCAGCTAGAATTTTAAATTGATAAAATAAAAAAATAAAGAACAAAAATTCTGCAATCAGAAGTTTAAAAGGTAATTCTCTCTAGAAATGTTTTTTTCGTTTTTTGAAAGAACACCATAATTTTTAACGAACACGGATAAAAAACATTTTATATTTTAATCAAATATGACTGTGAGTGGGGACTTTGTTACAAATTCAGACATTCAGAACACCATGGAATTCGGGGGAGGTAAATTCCATTTTAAAAATTAGATTTTTCGGCGACCTAAATCCATGACTTTTCATGATTTTTTTTTTTTAAAGTTAAAATCATGACATTTCATGAAAAATTTTGTTCAATATTGAAATTCATGACTTTCCAGGTGAACGGATACTCTGTTTTAACCAATATAGCGTTACAAATAGACCATGTTGCAGGCTTATAATCTAGTTCAGAAGAGCCATTACCAGAGATCCTTTCACCATTGGACCTAAAACTTTTTGAATAATTATGTTAGATTCTAGTCTGGAATGTAAAATTGACAACACTAAAAAAACAGTAGCATCTTCTTAGGAAGCAGGAACACTTTCAGATCATTTTCTAAAAGAGGGTGCATCTCTGAAGGGTTAAATAATCTGATGCGAGTCCCAGTGGCTCAGGGGATAAAGCACTATCTCCAATTAAGGTGACCCAGGTTTGAATCCAAAGGAATAGCTGGAATTCTTCGACCGGCTCACAACATTCACAGTGCTGATGTTAAATATCCTTGGTGGTCGATAGATCATTAGTTAGAATCTCCTTGCCGTTAGGCTAAAAGTGTGATGTTCTATTGGTTTTCCTCCTCATGTAATGCAAATGCAGGTTAATTCCATTTTAAAGTCCTCCACGAAGACTGTTTTGTTTCAATGCTTGACCCAAGAAGAGTTTCCTTGTCATCTGAGTTAGGTAAGGTTCAAAGCTAGAAGTCTATTATGTTGAATATTGATACTCATAATCCCAAAAAGGAGACTGGCTGTTCAATACCTTTTATAAAATAATCTGAGGTATTTGCCATACTGAAATTTGACACATAGAAAATTAGACTCGGCAATTTTTGCAAATGGGATCAATATAACTATTAAGAGTAGGTTCAAAAATTATTATACAACACAAATTTGAAGCTAGCACTTTCATAAGCTAATTTGTAAGTTTTTTTTATTAAAAAAAGGTTAGAGTAAAGTTTAGTTGTACGTTAAAATAAGCGAAAAAATAGTATTAAGAAGATAAATAAAAATTACTGTTTAGCCAAAATAAAAATATGCTCTTACCCTATCTTGTTTCTCCAGTTCTAACTGTTCAATTCTCTCCTTCAGAGCCACTTTCGTCTTCTGAACATTGGCGGGGGGACCCTTGATGGTTATGGTGTCAGAATGGTCATTCTGAGGTGGAATGATGATGTTAACGTCGTACATGTCCATCATACTTCGAACATCTTTTCCTTTCTGCCCAATAATGAAACGATGAAGATCATATGGCACTTCTATTTCTTCAGTGGTGGGAACAAGATCCTAACAATATTTAATCGAGAATTGAAGCAAAATATATTATCAATTGCAATTATTTAAGAAAACATTGATAAATGAGGAAAACTTACCAACAAAGCTTGGCAAGCTTTTTCACAATTTTCTTTCTTTCCTTTTATGATAATTATATTCTGCTTGTTTGATTCAGAATCAGAATGATAGTCGCCATTGACAGCTGGTTTCTCAGAATCTAATAAGTGAAAAGGTCGAGGAATTATTAGCATTAAAACTATAAGTGGCAGAAAAAGTTTCATTCTAAAAAATAATCAATTTTAGTTTGATTAATAAGACAAATCAATTACAAAAAAGCTGAAGATTGAATTTAAAGCAGTTAAAGATTAAAGCTATTTAGAAATATTCAAAATAGACTAAGGCAAAGTCACATGGGATCAAAATTAGGGAAAATGGTAAATTTGGTTAAATTTATTTAAGTGTGCGAAAATCTGAGGCAATCTAATAAACTTTTTCCTTAAAAAAAAAAGGGACATTTTTACACCAAATTGCCAATTAGTATTGCTTTTGAAGTTCCTAGAGTTTAGAATATATAACAACACAATACACAGAATCAAATGAAGAAAAAAAAAGGTTCTTAAAACTGCTTGCCTGAACATCTCGAAAACTTGATTGATTGTCATTACATTAGACTTCGAGGTTGAGCAGCTATAAAAAGTGAGGCACATTGACCAGAGGTCTATTGTACACAAACCCTAAAAAATGATTAGGGTTATAGCTGAAACAAAGTTCAGCAAACATCACACAGGAATGTATATTTCAGACCTTAATGCAATGTTGCCCTAAATGCTCAAATCTTTGAGCAGAATAGACCTCACAATCACATAGTATATGTCGTAAAGTCTCCTAAAGATGACAACCTCGACAAAGAGAATCAGATTAAACACCCATTATAAAGAGGTGCATCCTGAGGGAGCAGTGTTCAGTGAGAAGACCAACGATCTTCCTCAAACTGTTCCTGTTTAGCTTAAGAAGCTTTTTTTGACGCACACTTGGGCAATCACGATTTAGCTCTTTAGCTTATCTCTGACAATCAGAGTTGCTCCATTGCTCAGGGGCAATTTTGCCACAGATCTTGAATATAGATGCCCTGAATGATGTGGAAAAGATTCCCAAAGATCCTCAATCCCAGTATTATCCAAAAAATTTTTTAGACAGTAATGTCACTCCCACCCTCTTAATTTTCGAGGAGTCAAATTTAAAAAAAATCAAGGAGTGAACCTCAAAACAAAGATTAAATTTGTTGTAAATTACCACCCTGTTGAACATATTTCATAATGGACACATTATTTATGTAAAGTCCTCTAAAATTTATTGATTGAATGCTTAACATTGACAGCTGTTGTAATACACAAGTGTAACAATCTGACACAGAAAACAATCTAACACTAAATAAAACTAAAATAAAGATAGAATCTTGAATAAAAAACACTTAATGATTTTTAGAAAGTTAGGTAACGTTTCTACTTGAAAATGCCCAGATCAAATTTGAAATGTTTATTTTATATGAAATTTTATTTTACCAAACAAGCAACAAAAAAAAAAAAAAAAAAAAAAAAAAAAAAAAAAAAAAAAAAAANAAAAAAAAAAAAAACAGTCCAAGCAGCATTAGTCAATTTTTTGTACTAAAATAAAGTTTGTTTTCAAAACATTCGACAGAATTGCTTTTCTATAAGAAAAAGGAAAGAATATCTCCACTCTACTCTTAAGATGAAAACAAATTAAATTTTTCAATCAGTCATTGAACCGCATCATCAGAACAGCTTGGAGCGGGCTCCAAATATTCTATGTCACGGGACTCACCCTAATTAGAAAAATATATTTTGTAGTCTTATTATAAATCATAATAAAAACTGCATGATAGTAAATATGTGAAGGAATCATTGTATGACACTCTTTTAATAAATATGACACTCTTTTAAAGAATATAAATTTTAATATTGGAATAATTTTATTACCATCATTTCTCTCACGATCAGGGAACTTAATGGTAACATCAAAATCTTTCTGAATATTCTGAACTTTTATTCCTCTAGCTCCCAGAACTGTACGATGATGTTCTTGTAAAATTTCACATTCCATGGTGACTCTGGAATCCTAATAATTAATATTTAAATTAAAACAGGTTAAAGTTTATAGATTATTATAACAAAATAAGAAATTTATTTTTTATCACAAGCTTCATAGCTGCCAACATGGATAGGAAAAAATGCAATAGATTTTACAAAATATAAATTTCATGATAATTGTTGCAAATGTACTAAATATTTTATACATAGGGAATTTTATAATCATCAAAATAGAAATACTGCAATATTTTCCAGTTATGATTTCATGTTAAACATACTTGAAATGTTTTGTATTAGGTTTATTCATAATTTCGAATATTAATAGGCATTTAATTCATCGAGGATAGTTAAAAGATTTCTTTAATTAATTAAAGGAGAATTCTGAATGAAAATAAACTGAACATTTTAGAACAAAAAAAAATTTTGAACTGATTTCTATAAATGAGGCTAGCTTCATTATGTATAAGTAATACTTATTTAAATATTCAAGCAAGCAATAATCTGTACAAAAATTGGATTTCAATAAGGATTTTTTAGGAAACTTACTCAATTTTAGGGAATTCTCTAAAATGTACAAAAACCAGGAGAATTTTAGTTAAACCAGTGGACCAGTAGTCTACTAGAAAATCCAGTAGAGTTGGCAGCTATGATGCTTGCATTTTTTTAATAGAATTACATGAATAAATTTTACTTATAAGATTCTTCTTTTGCAAAAATTTCAATTTTAACAAACTGATTAAGAAAGAAAAAATTTCTTAAATTTTCAAAAACTTCAAAATAGAAAGATTAAGTTACGAACAGTGTAAAATTATTGTACGTAGTTCGAGAAAAACATATAAACTTAAGTAGGTAAAATATTAGCTATTTAAAATCTGACAACCAAGCATTTATTACAAAAAAGAAAAAGAGGAAATAGTTGCATTAAAAAGATCTGATTTTAAAGCGATGCCGATTTGTTCTGCTTTTTGGTAAAGCTTTTTTCAGCAATAGCAAAACTTATGTTCAAATGTATGATTCTTAGTTTAAGTTTGCGTATTTTTGTTCTACCAATACAAATTCAACTAATACTTTATACAACTAATTCAAAAGCCTACACAAAACATCTTTTTTCCAACTATCACCAACAGAACAAAATTATTCAATTTCTGCAGGGTTAATTTTTAGGTCACTAAAACTTAATAATTTTTTTCTGCTGAAAGCTGAGCAATTCGTATTCCAGTTTCTGTCCTTTAATGTTTTTAAAGACAAATTCCAGAAGAATGTTTTAAATGTTATCACTTTTCAACAAACACAAAATTTGGGAAGGAGGGAAAAAAATATTCTTGTAGTGAACTTTTAGAGAAAAAATTAAAATACAATGCAATCAAAATAAGAGCCATTAAAATTCTTATAATAAACTAAAATTTAACATTAAAAAAAAAAAAGTTACAACCCAAAATTCTAAAATTTTCAATTTGCCTATCATAATAAAATTATAACCATGAACTAAACTTAGAGGTAGGATGTGGTTGATTTCCAGACAATCAGCTTTTATTAGGTTTATAATAAAAAAACAATACTTGGAATATATATATTAACAACTTTATGAAATCTTATTTGTAAACAGGAGTTAAAAAATAAACTTAAAAAAATCCACCTCCACAAACTATTCTGACTTTTAAAATAAAACTAAGTGATTTCTGCACAAATTTGTGTCACTAACACTTAATAACTTAAAACTAAAACACTTAATAAGTTAGTTAAATGTGTAAAAAAGTCAAAACTCAGATGATACTCCAGCAGATTAGAGTTTCAAAATTAAATAAAGCACATAAAATTAACACATAATTACCAAATCTTGAACGATTTCCAGCAATTTTGCTTTGGCTCCTTCGATATAATCTTTAGCTCCTTTTAGAGAGACTTCATCACTATCTGAACCAATCTTGGGGAAGCTCACGCTAACACCACCAAATTCATCGGCAATTTGTTTCAATACCTCACCACGTCTTGCAACAAAATGCCGGTGATGTTTTGGATCAATACGGACTTTATCTTCAGTTGTATTTTTCTAAAATATTAAATAATTTAGTAACTAGTTTTCAATTATTGTTTGACAAAGGATATTATTACAAATTCTTTAATTACTTAAAACTATTTCAATTAAGTTTCAAGTCACTGTTCAATAATTCACACTCAAGACATTGTCATTAATTCACACACATTTAGAATTAAAATTTTAATCAAAGCTTTACAAAAAAGAGCTTATATTAATTCAAACAGACTCATTCAAAATAATTAAGTTTAAACCAGAAACTAAGACCATATATTCTGTTATAAATAACGCAAAATATTAAGTGATTACAAAATGAAATATAAATATCTACAGAAAAGTAAAACTTATAAATACTAGAAAAAGCTTTTGCTTTTACACACGCCCACTAACTAAAATGGAATTTTCCATAGTATAAGAAAATATTTCAAGTAGTGAAAGTGATCATGTATTCATATTTTATTCAATAATATAAATTCATTCATCGCTTTAAGCAAATAATTTAAACAGATATATAAAAAGGTCAGAGAGACAAATTGTCATGTGTTTAGTTACATAAAAATCCACTAGTTTAGAAAAATTCAGATTTAGTTTACCATCCTTGGACTAAATATTAGGCTTAAGGTATGGTATTTTAAGCACTGCAGTAGATAGGATTAATAAGTAAATAAGTAACTAATTACAATCCTAAAAAATGTATCGTTATGCAGAAAAAATTATCCAAAATTGTATTACTTTAATTACATTTTAAATATTCATTTGTATTCAATATTTTAATAAAATTAAAATATTACATTATATGAATGTGCTATATTAAGCAAACTATTTAATGAAAAATTTATTAAGACATTAAAAAAAAAGACATTTTTTAAAAAAGAATATTTAATAAAAGAAAGATATTTAAAAAAAAAACTAAATTTCTAATATTGAATCTTACATTGGATATTCTAAATAAATGAACTAATTGATTCAAAATATTTATATTTAAAATTGGAAGAAAAACAATAAGTACCAATTCAGAAATGATATTTTCCAATTCCTTCTTAGCAGCATCAACCTCTTCTTTCCTACCAATGATATGGATGACATCTCTGTCCTCATCGCTTTCACTTGGGAAAATAATTCTAGCCCCAGTTTTATCGCGAACCTAACAAGAAAATCGAACAGTTAATTCAGTGAATAATAAGAAAAAGTTATGTGAAATTACATAACTAAATTTTAAGAACAATGATAGCTATAAATCGCACTTTCAATAAGAGACAACTTAAGAGATTGAATTCTAGAAAATATTAATTTTCTGATAAAACACTAAGCAATTACCCACACGTAAAACTTTGATCAGCTGAGAACCAATAATTTACTATAATCCTCATCTATCTACATGCATAAAGTAAATTTAGTTTAGTGCATCATCTAGATATTCTTATCCAGCAAAATTTTAAAATATACTTTTTTCTTGCTTTTTAATTTTAGTCTCAACTATTTAAGTTGGCTACTATTCACAAAATTCATATTAACTATCCATACATTTGGTTAAGTAATTAGACTTGGAAAACTGTTAATTCTGCATTACGATAGTTTTACTCTCCACTTTTATCACAGGATGCTTTCAACATCTCAAAAACCTTATGTCACAAAAAAAAAAAATTTCTTCCTTAGCATTAAATATTCTTTTATTGTTAATTTTAATTCCTATGTTGAATTTTTTCAAAACCTTATGTCAAATTTTTCTCTAAAAAGAAAATTTATTTTTTTAGAAAAATCACTATGTAAATTTATTTTGAATTATTTAAATATTATTTAATGCATAATTACTTTCATCTTGCGTTTAAAAATTACAGTATACTCTCGATATCTCGAAAACTTTGCTATGTCAAAAAAATACTTTCCCCCCTTGGCATAACAATCCACCTAATGTCAATTTTGAATTCCCATGTCAAAAAGTTTCTTCTCAAAACCTTATGCCAAATTTTTCTTGAAACAGAAAATGATTTTTTTCGAAAAAATCAATGTAAATTTATTGTAAACCAATTCTTTTCTATTTTATTCATAATTATTTTTGTCTTACATTTAAAAATAAAATATTGTTGTAATAGGACTTACAGTCAACTACCAATACAAACATTTATGAGTAGTTATTCTCATGCATCATGATTATTTTTTAGAGTAATATTTTAGAAAACATTTTTTCTACTTTTTAGAACATATTTAGTTCTGAAATTGTTACTTTGAAATATTTTTAGCATCCCTTCAACTTTGAGATATCTAGAGTATATTGTATATAATTATATGGCAACAAACAGTTAGTCGATAAAATGTTTTGTTCCTGCTATGAAAATATTTCCATTAGAAAATTTTGAACAAACTAAAAAGTTTCACTTTTAAATTTAATGGCCTAAATTAGCTCAATAATTTTCTATGGAGAAAAAAAAATTAATAAAACACAGAAACAGAAAACGTTTTTTTGACTTCAGTTATAAACAAATAAAATCAAAAGTATAAATTCTACCTTTTTAATATTGACACCACTTTTTCCAATTAAAAACTTGTGATGTTTCGGATCAGCTTTTACTTCAGCTGTGTGGCTGGTTAGCTGTTTTTCATTAGAAAGTTCAAGCAGAAGCTTCTTGGCTTTCTCAACATCATCTTTTGGACCACGAATAGACACTTTATCACTGCCAGTACCGCCAGTAGGGAATTTTATTGTAACACCTCCACAGTCCTCAGTTATAGAACGGATGAGTCTGCCCTTTGTACCGATTATGGAATTATGCAATTTTGCTGGAATCATTATTTCTTTAGTAATCACTTGATCCTACAATCAATATATACACTTGTATTAATAATGCTTTACAAAGTATTAATGCTAAAGAACTCAAAAAAAGAGTTAAAACAAGCAAATTACTATTAATGCACTAGATCTATAGCATAAGAAGCAATCAAAGGCATTTTTAAATTTAAAAAAATGCATTTAAAAACTATAAGAACTACCAAGATAGAAAGGAAAATACAGTTTAACCTCACTAATGCGAAATCGCTTAACCCGAAATATCGCTTTACCTTAAACAAATGTTTGGTCTTCTGAGTCAGCAATCAATTGTTGTATTTTACATGTTTAACATGAAATTTTCAAGCTGATTATCGCTTAACATTGAAAGGAAACTGGACACAGATAATAAGCATGTGAATAAAATTCCAATCATACATTTTAAGAAATGCTACTTCTATTTTCCTCCTTTGTTAGAAGTAGCAGATGGGCAAATAAATAAAATGGTTAAAATAATAGTTTAATAATGTAGATAAATCTTTAAGCTTATTTTCATAAGATTATTGCTTGCATACGTTAATGTAGTACATAACATGCATTAACAGCACGGAATTAATTGTTTTCATGATCTATCGGATGAGACGAAATTCGGTTAACACAAAATAATTCTGATAGTCCCACCGATTTTGCGTTAACGAGGTTAGACTGTAACAGCAGATTTTACGAAATATATATGTTGCATAATCAAAAAAATTATTATTAGAAACTTACATTTTAAATTGACGAAAATATTTCCGATCAGGACGGTAATAATCTTTTATGAAAAAAATCCACCGATTTCCCCCTGAATGTTTCAAAGCATGTAGCTTAAATTTTGTTAAAATAATAAAATTTCTTGATAAAAATGTAAATTAGAATTCGAAATAATACCGTAACTCTCAAGAGAGCATAGATAAATTTTTTATTTTTTAACCCAGGTGATTAGAAATTCATATTTAATTAATGTTCGAACATTTTTGAAGAAAAAAAACACAACAAACAATTAAACCGCAGTATATTAACATTGATTAAAAAATTAATGATTGGAAAAATTAGCACTACTAAACCTAATAGAATAATATTTATTTACAAAGAAAATGAACATTTTTAATACCAAACTACCTTAAAAAGTGTATAAACAATCCATATTTAAAGTTATATCTTACCAATTCTTCTTGTATTGCTAATATCTTATCTCTTGCTATAAGGACATCTTCCTTTTTACCCCTTATGGTTATCACATCAGAATCTGCCCCTTCAGCTGGAAGATCAATTCTTGTATTGGTATCATCCCTAATCTGTAACAAATTAGAATTATGACTACATATTTAAAAAAAAAAAGCATACTTATGATTACATATTAAAAAGGAGCACAAACACAGCAGATAAAATTTTCAAACATTTTTTTGTAGTGATTACAAATTACCCTCAAAATGCAGTCACAATTTGATATGCTTATGCTAAAAAAATAAATAAAAAAATACTGATAATTTTTAAAAAATTGCTTAGAAAAATAATATACTTATTTTATTTTATAACTGGCATTGATCAGCTGATCCAATTGAGGGTTTAAGCCCATGCAGCAGAGATAAGTATTAATTACGTGAAAATAACGTTAAAATGCCACAGTTTAGAGCAAAAAAAAAACGTTTTATTTCCGTTTCGAGTGGTAGTCTCGAATTAGGTAAAAAAGCGTTTATATTAGGGCTGTTTTTAACGTAAAAATGACGGATTTTTGCCGTTATTTTGACTAAGGTGAATTTCGTAACCAATTTTTAACGTATTTTTTACGTTTTTTTCACCAAACTATTTACGTATATTTTTGGTTCTATAAATTCGTTATTTTCACCAAGAATATTTACGTGTTTTTAACGCTTATTTTTATTAAAATAACGTACATTTTACGTTATTTTAACCAAAATACAAACGTATTTTATCCATACTATTTACGTATTATTAACGCTTATTTTGAGCTTTATTTACGCATTATTAACGCTTATATATCAATATTTTTAACGCTTATTTTGAGCTAGGTGAATTGATAAATTTTTCGCGAAAATTTAACTAAATTAATTTCAATTTATCGTAATTTTAACCGAATTGTTAACAATAGCATATTTTAAGTTTTTTTTTTTTNCGGTTAGCCTGACTGCAAGGGAACTAACCCATGATTCGTCCACCACAGAGCACATTTTACATCAGCACTGTGGTCGGTACCAGAAGGGTGCAAAATTCATATCAACCGGACATTCATTCGAACCCCATTCACCTCATTCGATGGCAAAGGCTCTAACCCCTGAGTCACTACAATTCATGGGAAATTATTAAGAGATATCTAGTTCCAGTTTATATGAGTAAATTTATTTTTTAATACCATTTATGTCTTCTTTTTTTCAACTTTTAACCTATGCCTTATTAAAAAGGAAAATTTATTTTTAAGAAATACTAGAGAACAATCAAACATTGGTAATTTTGATGAATGTCTAAAACTTTTAATTTCCTAAAAGAAATAATGTACACTTGAATTATAGAGCAAAATACCTTCAGCTGGCGAACTTGCGTAAGATTTGCACCAATCCCACTTGAAAAATTAATTGCATTTGCACTTAAGTTTTTTGCTTATGTTAAAAATAAGCGTTAGAAATAATTACAAATCAGTAAGTTTTTGTTGAGCACTTTTTTTTGGAAAAGTAGATTTGTTACTTGTAACAATATAAATTTACCTTTTTGATGTTAGCACCTCCTTTTCCAATAATAAACTTATGATTTTGTTTATAAATAGGAATATCAACGCTAAAATTAGTGAGTTTCATTTCTTCGTTTAATTGATGGAGATATTTGTAACATCCATTAACATCAGCTTTAGGCCCTCGAATGGATACTTTGTCACTCTTTAAACCAGGTTCTGGAAATGTTATATTAACCTGAAAACAAAATTGTACAAACTCAATTTTGAACGAAAACAAAACACTCAATTGTTTACAAAATTTCTCATGATCAACACCTTTAAAATATTTTTCAATTTCTAGCTATATAAAATAATTAATTTATTCTCAGTAAGTTATTTCAAATTATAATTATAGTAAGAAATATTATTGTAAAAAAAGGAAAAGTTGCACAAGGAAGAGTAATTCGCAAAAATGTAATAGAAATAAAATGAAATCACTCTATTATATCTTTACACCATATTCTAACACTATTTTAGCTGCAATTGATTACATCGCAGAAGTACAACAGCAGTAAATAATTACAATAAACTGATTTAAAAAATTGGCAGATACAACTTTAATGTAAATAAAGCAATTCAAAGTAAATTTTGATTAGATATTTCAGTTTTCAATGTCTCTAAATTATTAAAGTTTCAAAATATAAAAAGATTTTCAGATATTAATGAGTCAATTTTTTACAAAGGGTACGCAGCCAGATTTTTCAACAAAAAATGAGCATTTTTTAAGCACTCAAAAAATATTCTTAACCACTTTCCAAAAAGAAAAAATCATAATTAGGATATGTGCAGTGATAAAAAAAAAATTCCATTGTTTAAAGTTCTTAATTCATAAACATAAAATCAACAAAATTCAAAAATCATTTCAAAAACTTTACATAATCACAATAAAATAACTAGTCTTGGATAAATATTGATGAAAAAATCTTTTTTTTTTTACCTGCAATTTATAAATACAATTGAAAAGCCCTCCAAAAAATCTCTTTTAAGATAGAAAATTAAGCACTTTTTACAAACTCCGAAAAAAAAGCATCTTTAAGGGCTTTTAAGATATGTAAATAAAAATAAGCACTTTTTAAAAATGCTACGCATTCTGTGTTACATGTTTTATTATTCCTCGAAAAAAATTAGAAGTTTAACTACCTCACTATTAGTGGTGAAGATGAAACAAAAGATTTCATTTAAGCTTGATTTCTCTTAACACTTGACTCAACTTTATTAAACTCTAATTGAGAGCTAAAATTAAAAACTATTCAATACACTACGACATTTTTATTTCCTTTCTGACATTAGTATTTTTTTTTGTGACTTGTTAATATCAAAGCCTTTAAATCAAATAAAACACATGCAGACCTCTTAGAATTTTCAAAACGAGAAAACAAATTATTGCAATCTCATTAAAATGTGCTTACTTGATTAAAACGTTCTCTAATTTCCCTAATCTTTTCCCCTTTGGCACCAATAAGATTGCGATGGAAGCGCTGTTCGATTACTAGATCCTTTGACACTTCATTTTCCTAAAAATTAAACAAGGATTAAGGTAAATAATCAACATAAAATTAATAAAATATTATCATGAATAAACTTGAACAGTTATAAAGACTCAGATACAAACTTGTACTATCTAACAAAAATATCATGAATCAGCACAAACAATTGAAGCTTTTTCCAAATTAGCTGACATTTTATAATTTTATTTTGTAATCAACTCTTTGCAAGATCATAAAGTTTCAAAACTTAAATTATATACTTCAGTATGTATTCAGGGGTCTGTCCAGACATTTTGTGAAAGGTCCTGTTTTCGTAAAATTGTGAAAAAACTATTCATAATTTGTGAATATAAAATAAGCGTTAAGTCACATTCTTTCAACCAGGATCCTGCTTTTGTGAATTTGTGCACAAAGGGTCCTGTTATTTGGTACCTAGCCTACATTGCTCAATACAGAATATTAATTTCGGACCAATAATGGAGACAAAAATCACTCACATTAATAATTTCAATAGACATATTTTAAATAACACAACTTAGTAATGTATCACTTTTAATGTGTCACGCATTAAGTAAACTTAAACAATTCTTAAATTTATAATATTTATTTAAAAAATTGCCAGAAATAAGTTTTCATTTACATAATATTCTATTAATTTTATGAAAAAATATAAATTGATCAATTATTTATTTACAGAATAAATTAGGATTTAATATTAATAAGAATGCGCACACGATGTTTGTAAAAGTAGAAATATTTTCTTATAATACTTCATTTGGAATTTAAACTTAGGGAAACTTGGAAAACTTAATTTGTCTCGAATTCCCTCCCCCCCTCCTCCGAGAAGGGTTTATTCGATTAACAAAACAATAATGAAGATAAACAAATTTGTGAAGGGTCCGATTAAAAGATAAATTTTGTGAAGGGTCCGTTTTTATGAAAAGATATTTTGTGAAGGGTNCCTTTTCCCTCCCCCGAGAAGGGTTTATTCGATTAACAAAACAATAATGAAGATAAACAAATTTGTGAAGGGTCCGATTAAAAGATAAATTATTTTGTGAAGGGTCTGTTTTTAGGAAAAGATTTCGTGTAGGGTCCGTTGACGGACCCAAATTTCTTCTAAACAGACCCTTGGTATTGGAAAATTTTCAGCAACTATTACCTCTTAAGTTAATCACTCAATGGTTGTCATGTGAAAATACATGCTGCAAAAATACCGATGGTAGGTTCTTTATTTACGTTGCACCAGAGCTGCACAGTGGGCTATGGGACATGTTCTGGGAAACATACCTGAAGATAATTTGAAGACATGCCAACTCAATTTTGATAATCTGTAGAGGGGGTGGCTCCCCTGCTTTGGCAGCGGACGACCTGCGCATGAAGTCTAGCACTTTAATGCAGAACAGTTTAACAAGGACAGATACTGTGCACCCTGGGTCCCTACCCTGACTGATCAAAGTGGTCACCCACCTGCCTACTGACTGCAGGACCTAAGTTAATCCAAACTAAATGTATCAAAAATGTCAGTATCATTTTATTATGCAAAAATATTAATTTATGGGAGAAAAAATCTTAAGTTGATATATTCCACTACTGAAAACTTATTTAAACTAATAAGCCCAGAAGCAGAAAGTGCTTAAAACTGTGACGTACGTCGCAGAACAAACGAAGTCCTGCAGAACAATTTGCATTTTAAATAAAATTCTCTTTAGCTTTGACCACTTGCTGTTTACCAGGAATGATGTTGCTTTAGAAGAGGAACATTTGACACCCTGCACAAATTTCAGCACATTTATCAGTAATATCCCTCTCCCATATCTTTTCCATTCTGAGGAAATTAATGAATTAGCTTTTGGCTATAACATTTTTATAAAATGGGTGTATCAGTGTTTAGCAGGCAGCAGGAGAAATCGATCACCATTTTTATCAAGAGAGCTTCTAAAGCAAGCTGTAAAAGAATTAAATTCCGAGGCTTCCAATTTCATATAGTTCATGACGTTTATATTTTCCATTCCCATTTCAGAAGCAATTTGTGAATCATGGGGATCCACGATTGACAGAGTTTTTAAAAGACCAAATACTTTCGATGGAGCTGAAGAAGTTGGTGAAACAACAGACCAGTGAATGTTTGTGTTTGCAAATGGTGCACCATCTAGGCACTTGTCCCTTCGACTTTATTTTTTAAGACAATATTTATTTTAATATTTGGACCTTCATATCATCAGCATTTCATTGATAGTTCATCATCGTCATTCACAAAATTTTGTACTTCAAATGTGATTGGAAAAGTAACAAATGAAGAATGTTTGCCTTGGTTTAAAAAATAATGTAGTGTATCTGTGTATGATCCTGTATTTTAATAAATGAAAATATAGTATTTTAAAGTAAAGTTGACTTTTTTCGCTGTGGAATGCTTGCAGAACATTTGTATAAATTAATAAGTCAAGTTGCAGAACATTTGAAAATATTCTGCTTATGGGCTAATAAGAAAGTGATCTTAAAGTGTGATTAAATTCTTTTAGTGCGGGTATTTCATAACACCTAAATAAAGATTACATAGTTACCATTTTGTGAGCCAATTCCAGAAGAGATTTTTTAACTTGAGCAACATCTTCTGCATTTCCTTCAACGCGAATAATATCACTGTCACCATCAGATGGGATATTGATAAGCGTCCTAGGATCTTGTTTCAATTTGTTAACTAGAATTTTAAAAAAACAAAACATTAAAAATGAAGCATTACTTTTTAAAAATAAAAATTTAGAATTTTAAACAATAAGAATCAGTGCACTAAATAATAGTTTACACTGAAACAATTAGGAAGATTTAGATAACATAATCTGCTTAATTAATTAAAAAAAAAAACTATACTTTAGTGTATCTAAAACAATAAATTTCACAAAACAAAGACCAAAATTCAAAATATTGTATCACATTTTATAAGAAAATACTTAACTGAAATTTTAGTTTTACTTGAGATAAAAATATATCTTTTTTTATTATCAAAATAAATGTTTTTTGGCATATTCTTTGAACTCAAAAAAAGCAATAAGAAGAAATGAGTATAATTGTGACTTACAATTAAATGATAATTTCTAATACAAGTTATATTACTTGTAATCATTGGTAATAATTATTTGTGAGCATCATTACAAGCAATTAATTACTACCATGTAATCATTACCTGCTATCAATCACCTTATTGGCTAACAGAATATTTTATTGATATATAATTCTTATTTATAACAGATTTTTTTTAAACTTATTATTTAATCTTATCTTATAATGAACATTGTTATAAAACTTCCTAATAATCAATTTATATAAGTTATTTCAAAAGTACATCATGACTTTTAATATCAGACATAAAAGAACTTTTAATTGACGGAATGCTTAAGTTCATGATGAATGAGCCAAATCTTTAATGAAACCCAATAGTTTTATTTATTTATTTATTAGAATGTGTGATTTTACAGTTTGCTACCTCATTACAGCTCAAATTCTTACTTAAAGTCTAAAAATTTTTTTTATTGAAAAACTGGAAATAATTACTTACTATTAGCTCCATTTTTACCAATGATGTGTCTATGGAAAAGAGGATTGACTTTGACTTCCTCGTAAGCCAGCTGTTTCCGCAAATTCTCAATCATGTCCATCAACTTTGTTTGGGCAGTTTTTACTTCCTCTGGAGGACCCTCTAGTTTAATATGATCATCCAAGAAATCAATTTGAACCTGAAAATGAAATAAGCAATGAATAATGATAAACAAAATAAGGGATAAACAATCAGTGATGGGATTAAAAGTTTCATAGCAGTTCTTATATTAAAACCATTGAAGCAGAGCTGTGGAAACAATAATTGAAACAAACTCTTTTTGACTTGCATTAATATTGATATTAAATAAAGTATAAATATTATTTCAGTAAATGTTAATTTTAAATTACACATTTCGATTTTTATGGATGTATTTTATTTCAAATTGTATTAAATATTTTAAAATAGTTGAAGATATAAATTTAAGCATATAAATGAAGTTCAAGGCATTGAAATTCTGTAAAACCATTAAAAGGAACAAAGCTAGACATGAATCTATTACACATGCACAGTCACAAGCATCTTCACTAATCATTCTTGTTGATTCACTAATGAATCAAGATTCATTGTGAATATTCATGCACTAGGGAGTTACTGCAAATAACACATTGGATTCATTTGCAAGTTAGCTAAATAAGTTTTTTTTTTTTTTCGTGATGTAAGAACCATAGCACAATTTCACTAGTAAGAGAAAACTAAATCATTTTTAATTGTTTATTACTTGTGGCGTAATGCAAACATTTCTATTAGTAATACCTAATTACAGTGTTTTCACTACAGCGCGAGAATCTCTCATATTTTTTTCTTTTCTCGCATTAAAAAATGATTACCGCGAGAAATTCACACATTCCATAAATCAATTTCAAAATTCGCCAATTTCTCGCATTTTGGAAAAAGTTTCGAATTACGCCATTTAGAATAAAATCTGTTTCACTTTTCTTCCTGGATCTTTCATTATTTTCAACATTTGCTCCGTTATCTAGCTTCCCTATTTACCAGTATTGTTCAGAACCTTTTCGAACAACAGAACACAACCGAACCACGGAACCCCTTTCAGAACACATTTCTCTGCAACCACGTGTTTACCGTAGGTAAGGTTTTTTCATGTAAGACGTTCAAATTTTTTATGCACTAATGTAAGATGGACAAATACCTTGTAAAGGCAAAATCTTCTATGATGATGCACCAAAAATATTCAATGCTTTAAAAAATAGAAGACGTTAAAAATGTATTATAATTAAAGAAATGATTTTTTTTCAAGAGTTTTTGTGTTTTTTTAGTTTTTAGAAATCTCACTTAACTTTTTGAAATCTCACCCTGTTTTTGAGAAAGGGTGAGAAATTCTCACCCATTTTTTTTCTATGATGAAAACACTACAATTATAATAATTACAAATATTTTATTAGCACTATATATGATTTTTCAAAATGGATACGATTGGATATAATGGAAATGGTCAGGATATGATTTTTCAAAAAACAGTAGCAAATTTGCAACTGGAATGTATGTAACTGTTTGCAAACATAGATTTAAATGTAATAAAACAATTTTGTGATCAGTTATAATTCAAATAATTTTAATAATATTTATTTAAGTAATATTTTTGGTCACTTAAGTGTATATTGTAGATCGCCTAAAACGTAACTTAAATAAAAGAAGTCAAGCAATATTTTTTTAGGCATGACAACTTGTAACTTAGGTGACAGAGTACGATGCCTGACTTTCAATGCAGCGCACTTTTTCATAGAAATACAAAATAAAATAACATATTTTATTGATTAACTTAATAACTAATGTATAAATGTAATTAATTGAATTTAACATTCACATTATAAAAATAATTTATAAGTATTATTCTTGATTTGTTTAAAGTTTATGAAAATAAAAACTTAAGAAACAGGAATAAAAAGGAAAAATCTTCAATAAGTTTAAATGTCTACTTTCATTGAACAAATACCTCAAGTTTATAATAAATTAAAACTAAACAAATGGGTAAAATAGCATAAAAGGGCTTAGAGCACATTTAATATATTATTTGTCACATTGCTGTAAAAAAATGTAACTGAGACAACATGTGTGCCTCATGGCAACCAGAGTGATAAATATTAATTTCTCTTATAAGGTGTACTACAGTTATAATTGACAACAAAAGTATGTAGCAGGTTTTCTAAATATGACTCACCTTTGTAAGATCTTGAGTTAAATGCTTGATATTTGCTCCTTTTTTTCCAATGATGTATTTATGAAGCCAGCTTTCAACATTGATGGATTCATTTTTTACACTGTTAGCCTGGAAAGTTCAACACAACAAAGTTATGACAGAACTAAAGCAGTATCTACATTTTTAAAATGTAAAAAACAAAGCCAGATAAGTATAACGATTAAAATTTGCTTTCTATAAAATATTAAATTTCATTAAAGGCATACCTTAGCATAAACATAAGTCAAAGCGGGTCCTAATTTAGCCTGTTCACCCCTAAGAGTGATGGTGTCCGACTGTACATCTGTAGCAGGCATTTCCACTGATACTCCAGTTTCTTTAAAAATTTCTTGAATTGTTTGACCTCTTTGTCCAATTATGTACTTATGCTGGTATTTGGGGACCTCAACAGATACAGACTGACAGTTTCTTTTCTAAAAAAAATTTTAAAAAATTAATTAAATTGTAAAAATAGTTAAGTTACAACTAACTATATTTCTTCAGAATTTAAATTCTCACAACATTTATATACAATGAACTATATTATAATATATACGTAAATGAAATAATTTTACCTTAGTTTTAACCTTTTATCATGTTTTATTATTACCTTAACTTAAAAGAAAAATTAATATTGTAGAATTAAAATTAAATTTTACATGAATTAATGCATATAAAAGAATGCAGTGTCATATTTAATTAAACAGAATTTTATAATATTCTTAAGTTTCTTCTTTGGAAGATTATCCTTTCCTTGTAAAAACAAGAAAAACTCAAAAAGCAGCTAGATAATGTCTATTATTTAGGTTACCATTTAAAGAAATAAAACTAAAATTATGGAAAATTAAAACATTTTGGTAAAGAATAAGTTAGAATTTAATAAATTCAAAATAAAATCAATTTTTTTAAAATTGATTTAAAAAAAATAATTAAAATTCAATAATTAGAATTTTTTTTCTTTTCCATTTTAAAACACATAATCATAGAATCCTGTTTTATAACAGAATGTAACATATCCCCAAACTAGTATAAATGTAAAAAGGTATAAATAATAGCTTCAATTAATCCTTGAACATTTTTAAATTATTCATTTGCACGTAAAATTTGTTTCTTATAACAAACCCAAAATTCAGACAGCGGCTTAGACTATGTAAAATAATTTTAAAGAACTTATATCTGGTCTTAACCAATACAGCACTGTAACACTGTAAAACTGTGCCTTTCTTTACCTGTAAACCAGACCAAATAGGTTTTGAATGAACCTGGTCCAGTTACAGTCTAGGAAGAACAGGCGATGCTCAAAAACGTTAGTTTCTTATTCTTCTATTATCAGTTCTTATTAGTTTATTTTCTCAAACGAAGCACTAGATCGGTAAATGATTTCTTAGCTAAAAACTTGAATGACATAATTTAATGACTAATGCATTTTCATTACAGCTGAGCGATTCCACTGGTTTATATATAAAATTTTAAGTTGAAACAAATTACCTTTTCTTCATGAATCTGTTGAACTCTTTCTTTAGCCTTAGCAACAGCAACCTTTTCTCCAGCAATGGTTAGTTCATCCTTTAATACAGAGGCAGGTGGAATGTTAATTCTAGCTCCAGTTTCATTAGTGATCTGAGTAATGGTCTCATTGAATGGTCCAAGGATGAATGGATGATAAATTTTGGGTATTTCCAATCGTTCAAATGCAAATTTAGCCTATAAAGAATTAAAAGATTTATACTTAAGTATCAAAAGCTTGTAGCTTGTAACTAAAGATATTAGAGTATCAAAAGTTTGAAAATGCTAAACTCCCAATAAAGAAAATAACTATAAGTGTTAATTTCACAGTGAATGTTACCAAATTCTAACAATTCTAATAGAACTTTTGTATATTTTAAGGACTAAAATAATTAATGCAAAAAAGCAATATGTTGTCGACAAAACAAATATTTTTATAATTTGAAAAAGAAAAAAAAAATTCAAAAGCACATATTTATAACATTTGAAAAATAACCTACTTGAATCAATCTTTTAAATGCAATTGCATTAAAAATAATAAAAATTAGATCAAATCTTTGTAAACCTGTAATAACGAGCGTGTAATGAATTACTTAAAATGATTAAAATCCTAATAAACTTTTAATTACTTGTTATGACAACAAGTAATTGAACAGAATGAAATGTTGATAAAACAAGTAATAGGATGAGAACACATTAAAGCTATAATTGATAACTTAAAAAAAAAAGTTCATTAAAGTTATAATTGAACGGCTATGTTAAATTGGTAACAATTTGCAACTTTAACAAACATAAATTAGTAGATGATTCTTGTGAGCAGCTGTAAAAAATTAGCAAATCTTGACCCTAATTTTCAGAAACTGCCAAATTAAATAATTTATTAATTTTTTATTGAGTTAAGAATTTAGCACTTCTGCCACCTTTTAAATTTCTCACTCAGGTTTCCACACTATCTCCATGGTTATTTATCCACAGCCAAATCTTATTGTGTACTTATCATGAAAAATCACTATAAATTTATTATTTCAGGACATCACAAAACATTCCTATAAAAAATGCGCATTATATTGAAGGTACTTGTAACGGCTTAAATTTATAAAAGAGCCAAAAACTAATACAACTTTTATATTGTTCACTATGTTACATTGTACAGTGCACTCCCTATTATCCGGGTTAATCACCGAGACAGGTCACACGGACAATTGAAAAACACGGATAATCCGAAAACTTTTTATTAAAGAAAAAATCCATATCAGTACAAAAAATATAAAAATTACTTTCATTTGCATCCCGTATAACATCAAACTAGGAATTTTCCTTTAAAAAAAATGTGAAATATGTCGCATATTGACACATATTTTACGAACCGTAGTTAATCAAATACTCCTATATAATCTAATAAAGATTCAACAGATTGTAGATCAGCAGAAATTGTATTTCCCTCATTTATTACATCTTCTGCATCTGTTACTATCATCACTATTTGATTTAACAACATAACGATGTCTTCATCTGTCAAATACTGGAAGCCAGGCTCAGATGCATCACTTTGAAACCTACCTTTTAATTTTTCTTCATCAAGAATTTCGAAACCTTAGATTTCTTTTGTTTGTTCGAGAATACTGTTATTATATTCTTCTTGAATATCTGAAGAAGGTTATTCATCAAGCGGTAAGATCTTTTTTCATGATCATGATAACATAGACGATTTTACCTTTGATTGTGCTGCTGATATTCCATATACTGCAATCCAATAACGAATATTGCTTTCCAAAGATTTGGTAGAGTTATAACTTTATGAATCAAATTTTTTAAATTTTGAAACTTCTTCTCTTTAAATTTTTTGTACGACTCCGGAATGAGCACGGATAATCCGCAAACCAGATAATCCCCGCACGGATAATCGAGAGTGTATTGTATTTGAATTGGCTTGATAGCATGTTCCACAATGTAATTAAATTATACAACAATGATGTAATCAAACATGAATGCAGCTTTAATATGCTCCACTTTAATCTGTTAATTGCAATTAAATTATAAACTTAATAAATTTGAGTAAAAGATTTTTTTTCTGCAAAAACGAGGAATCTGTGGAAACAGTGAAGAGATGAACACAAAAGGTCTTGAACAAAAAGCAATTGAATATAAAAGTAACTCCCAATAAGGAAATAAAATCTAACTACTGAAAATAATGATTGGGAATACACTACCATAAATAACAGTTAAAAATACAAGGATTGTACCATGTACTTTCCTTTTTCCAATATTAATATTAAAAATATCAGGCTACTGAAATTTACCTGCTCATCAGATAAGAGTTGAATTTCATGCCGAGCTTTGTCAATGCCTTCTTTAGTTCCAGTAATCTTAATTAAATCCGAGTCGTCATCTGGGCGCGGTACACTGATTTTCGTTGCAGTACTTAATTCCAATTCACCCAACCTTTTACCACTTTTCCCAAGGACAAACCTGTGATGTTCTTTTGGGATGGGTATACTGATGCTTGCCTGAAAAAAATATGCAATAAACATGAAATCAAGAAACTTATATTTGAATAGCAAAAAAGTAATAAGCAAATAATGTATATAATCACTCGAAACTATTGGCGATTCGTTGATCCCAGACCCACCAGCAATCGTGTAAAAGAAAAGTAAGTATGCAGATTCGGTTTTTTAACTTTTGGTTTTGGTCTGTTCCTGTCCCAATTTCATCATAATGACTGCATTACACATTCTACTTTATATTTTATAATAGTCAGTGAACAGTAGACTAACCAATTTTTTCAGTTTATGACTACCAATGTTCAACTCCGTGGCCTTTTTATTTTGAAGCTAGTTCAGAATGAACTCCTAGAGAAATTTCGTTCGCATGGGATTTTTTGATGGAACTAACCAGCATTTGCGTTACATGGAGAAGAAAATCTCAGTTAGCTTAACGGCAAGGAAACTCTAACCTACAACTCAGGAGGATATTTTAAATGATGACCATGAGGTTTTATGTCAGCACGTCAGCACTATGGTGCATAATTCGTAATGATCAGCCATTGCTGGAATTCAAACACGGGTCACCTCATTGGGAGAGGAATGCTCAATCTCCTGAACCACTACGACAATACATTTCATGTATTTTATTTTATATCCATCATTGAACAACCAACCCAGTTTTTGGGTTTACGACTACTAATTTTGAACCCAAACCAGAAGACAAGGAAACTCCTAGATCAGTACCCCCAGAGGTATGATTTGTTATGGGAATATGGACTTAGTGACTTGAGAGATTTAACGAGCATCAGTCACCATTTACTACACGGGGAGTCTTCGGCCAGTGAGGATCGAACCCACGACCTCTTGCATATGGGCCTAGTGCCCCTACCAACCAGACTATCCCAGCTCTCCATTTCATGTTTTGTAATTTTTCATCAAAATTCACTTATAACATTTCTTTGGAAAAAACCTAGTAGGGACAAGTAAGCCAAGTTCACCAAGGTGGGCTCAGCTCATACAAACCCAGTGAGCTTATTCAAATTACGCCACCTTAAAAAAAACTTTTATACCCACTAAACCGGTCATTTTCACATTTTATAATTTTTAATCAATTATCTTTGCAATTATCAAACAAACTTGCTTTTTAAATTGTCAAGTTATTGTTTTATAAATTGAACTTTTATGGGCAATTCCAAGATGGTTGGAGTTACGTTTTTATAGGTTCGTATTTTTAAATTCTTTTTAATTGATAAATATTTAACAATTCTTTTTGAAATTTATATTTGATGTTTTTTCAATAGCCTAATACTATGCATGTAAGAAAAAAAGAAAATTAGAATGCCGAGCAATTGGACAAAATGCCATGGCATTTTACAGAATGATAAATGCTTTATAAGCTAGGAATGTACAATTATTTTTGGGCATTCAGCCACAAAATAAGTGTTGGAGCCAACATCATAATGCTGTAATTATAAAATCTCAAGGAATATTTTAATTCCATTTTAAAGTAATACGAATGAATTACAAATGTGCAATTAATATTTTACTCCCGTAAAGATAACAAAATGATTAATGTAAATAAATTTAAATATACTTATTAGGTTACAAAGCAAATTGGGGTAAATATATAAGCAAGCAATAAAAAAGGTAACTCAAAATGACATTTACCCTAAAAGTTAACTTACACTATTATTCTGAAAATTAAATTTGCGTCTAATACAGTATCTGATTAATGTGATGACTGTTGCTAGAATTTTGAAATTTAATTTCTTTTTTTTTTCTTTAAATATTTATCTATTTTGACTTAAAAAAATTTCTTTTAGTTTATAAAAATTCTAAGTAACTACATTCAACTCAAAATTCTAATTTCCTTGCATAAACTGAACTCCCATAACGGAATGATCACATTTTGATACTTGAAAGGCTGTTACAGAGCATGGCTGAAAAAGTTTTTCCTTTACTTTTTTTCATATTTAGCATCAGAAGCAAATGGAGCACAGCATCCAACCTGTCACATCAGCTATCTGCAGCCACAGGTACCACAGTTTTATGGTAAATCACATACAGACGTTTGGGATATACTGTTCGTATATGCTCACAGGTTATTCAGATATATTCTGATCATAACTGATTGTCACCAGCAATTAGTGTAGAGTAGAGGGCATGCAATGTAGACAACAACACAGATGCCTTGAGTGATGTTTTCCCACAAGTCCAGGTCTAGGATTAGCTTGCACCAAGACAACATCATTGAACGACCCACTTCCCCCCGTATTCACTGTTGACTCTGACCTAACGTGAAACTCCCAGTTCCGAAACCTTGGTTTGGAAACTTTGACCACGAGTCGAAAAGCGTAATAATTATTTTTGACCGTCAGTTTTGTAACTGCCGGTTTCCTAACTGGCTGTTAACTTGCATCCCAGTGGTAGATTTATAGCCTTATTAACAGCATTTGTTTTCAATTTTCATTGCTATTTTTTAAAAAAAATTTCTATAGAAAAAAAAAGAAAAAAGATTGCATTGAGTGAAATTAAATTTTGGACTTTAACCTAGAGTTGCTCTCATAAAACCTGTTTTGAACTCTGACCGATGGTTAGGGTCAATGGTAAATAGTAATGCAGGATAGCTAGTTTGGAGTAGAATTTATACTGGACTCCAGTACAGATCTGCATGTTCAAATCGGAGCCATGATAGGTCAAATTTATCGGAACATCATTCTAGAACAACATGTACCCTTGTTTAGGGGTGCCACGAACTCATAATTTCTGTTTATGAATGTCAATGCCCATCCTCACCGAGCAAACTTTGTAAACAAATCCTTCAATCTGAGGTTCTCACCCATAAGGAATGGACCTGACTTGAATCAGGTAGACTAGTATTTTTACCAGACTTAAATCCTGCAAAGCATGCGTGGGACATACTTGGACAACGAGATGCAGCCCATCTCAGACATGTGTATTGGGATTTTGGAGAGAATTGATTGCTTAAAAGGGGTAACATAAAATCTAGATATTCTAACATATAGGCAAGACAGGAAAATTTCATGAAGCAACAGAAATTGACATACGAAACAGACAACACAAAACCTCCAGGGATCCATTGTACATGAATAACATGGAAAAATATAGTGGCTTATTCTGCGAACGGAATCAGAGTTCAAATGCTCAATGAAACTCGTTATGCTTGCAAAAGAGTAATAAATGATACATTTAAGAATTGAAAAATAATTACTTGTGTTTGAAGTTCTTTCAGAATTAGCCGACGTGCTTTAAGTACTGCTTCTTCCTTTCCGGTGACCAAGATGGTGAGGCTCTGATCCTTAGATGAACTGATTTCAATATGAGCCCCTGTCTTTTGCATGATGTCCCCACAGATTTTAGCTTGTTCACCCTGTTCTCCAAAGCGCTGGTTGTTCAAATCTCTAAACCTACGTTCTTCAACAGGTACATGGAATACCTACAGAAGGAAACATGAAATTAAGGTGCAAAATTAATTGAAGGAAAAATACAAGGTTAGCATGATTCAAATCACAAAATTTTTTTTATCACTGATTTTAATAAATATTTTTTCAGGATGATTTGTTAATGTATTCCTACAGTTCTGATACTTTTTAAAGCCTTACTTCATTGATATTTAAGATTTTACAAAGGAAAGTAATAAGAGACTAATGTCAGAGATGCCAACTTGCACCGGACAGTGGAGAAACATTTTCAAGTGTTAGTGTTTTAATCTGTGAATCTCGTTTTAGTAAATTCGATCTATAGGACTTTTACTCGCCACTACTTCTAAATAATTCAAAGGCTTATTTAATGTTAAATGTTACGGAGGGAATGTACGCCAAAATACAGGGTGTTCCAAAATTATCTTTACATCACCTGGCCTGAAATTGATTACAGACTGGAAGTGCTTAGGGCCACCAATGGTGCGCATGTTGAAGTGTACTAAACAAAACTTTATTAGTTGCAGTAATACATGCAAAAGACAAAATTTTAATATCTTGTTTATTTTCGAAGTTATGAATTTTTGAAGTTGTAAAGAGAATTTTGGAACACCCTGTATATTGTGGTCGAATGAATTGTTAAAATGTTTAATAGAATAATGCGAAAAGCATGCTTTTGCATAATATGTGGCGAAAATCGACATGTCAAGGGAAAATTAAGCACTTTTTAAAAACACCTGATAAAAAAAGTACCTTTAAGGGCTTTTAAAAAACGAAAATAAAAAATAAGCACCTTTAAGCACTTTTTAAAAACGCTACGCGCCATGGTAATGTATTTGCCTATAGTGCTTAATCTTTAAAATAGACTAAAAAATAAAAATAATCTGGACAAAATCTGAAATTGGCAAAAATGAATATATTATATATTAATGATTGAATGGATGTATATATTATATAATTAGTTGTTGAATGTATCATATATTTAGTTTTTAAATACTATTAAGCACTAAAAAATCATGATTTTTGAAAATGCTGGTAAAATTACCTGAGTGATAACAGTCGATTTCATTTTCATTTTCTGAGTCCATTGTCCCATATCCACTGGTGCTTCAGGTTTGATTTCATTTTCTGGAAGAGATGGAAACAATTCATCATAGCTATAGGCAGCTTCGTAAGGGATGTTTTCGTCCATAATGGTGGAGTGAACCATCGTCTGGTCACCGAAAGAATTCATTTCATGAACCGCGTCCAGATCCATGGTCGATTCTCAGGCCAAGGTCGTACAGTACACTAAAGAAAAATATGTTTAAAAAAAAATTATATATCGAGCTTTACAATTTTCAAATAAATAAAGAGGGAAAAACTTTATTTTCATGATGAAAAGCATGAGAAGAGAGCTGCCAGCTAAAGGTGTTTTAAAAAAATGCTAGAGTTATGAGTAAAATAACCCCCCCCCCCAAATTGCTAATTTACTAATAACTCCACAGTCAGCTCTTTCATAGCAGTGGAAGAGTTAAGCTATGTGGGTAAATATATATATATAGGAAAATCCAATTGCTATACCATAAATGCCATGTTATTTTAATGGTGAATACCAATTAGAATGTCTCAACTCGATAGTTTTCACATTACGTTTAACTTCCATTTTCAAAAAAAAAAAGAAAAGAAAAAGACTTCAAAAACAAGGAACACTTTTGTTTTTCAAAAACTAAACATACATCTATGGCAAAGTTTCTCAACTTATGCTCTGTGACACACTAGCATGTAGTAGAGTATACTGAGTCAGCAAAACCGTTTAAATAATTCATATGATGAAATCCTTAAGAAAATAGGTAATTTAGGTTCGCAGAATATCACTCATATTACGGATACACAGTGGAAAGTCCCATATCTGGAATCACCAGGATTTCGGCAAGACCGGAAATAGATTTTCCTGGCTATTAGATCTTGAAGGCAAGCCAACATCCTTATTCAATAAAAGTAACAAATAAGTCCATGTGGTTTGTACAATTGCTCTAATTTCACAGTTTTTGCTGCAGATTTCTAGAATGTTTTTAAAATCGATATTTTAATATGCATTCTAATGTAACTGCAAATTCTAAATGGTGCATTTTGTTTAGTAATAATTTTTTCATCCACTCCATTTGAGATGATTCCACAATGGGACCGTGTGGTTTTGTTTATCCTTTTTTGGTAGTTATTAAAACAGATTTCCACTTTGTTTTTTAAATCTCGATGCTTTAATAAGATCTTATTTTGTTCTGAAAATTTCGAATCACGCATTTCGCACTCAATTATTAACTCACTCTCAGTCCCATGTGAATTTACGATATTTTTTAGTCGCATCTTCGATTTGGCACTATTTTGAATTTCAAGTCCACAAATTTTTTCAAGATTTGAAAGTTTTACACACTCTGAGATTTAGTACATGATTCTTCGCATTAATAACCTTTTTATAAGAGATGGAAATTGGATTAAAATCAAACTAAAATTGGAAGTCTGATCAAAATCAAAGGAGAAATTAGCAGAAAATTCTCATCCCTACATACAATTTTTTAACAGGTTTGACAGGTTGCAAGGAGTGCAAAAATAAAATTTTTAAAAAAGGGAACAGAGTTTGTTCATTTTGATTGCTAAAAAGTGTCTGGAAAAGAGACTTTACAGGTAAACGGACGTCCAGATAAGGGACTTAGTACTGTATATATTTTAATTTCCTTCCTAACGCAAACTTTATTTTAGTTTCCAAATTTCCCCACATATTATCTTATTTTTATACTTTAAATAATTTTTCTAATTATTGTGGTAATTAGAAATAATAATTTTAAGTTCAAATAATAAAAGATGTTTCAATAAATCACATTTTCAAATTTTGAGCAAAGCACTTAAAATTACAGATTGTCCTTCGCAGTTCTTGAATTAATTTCAATCAACATCAATAACAAGATTAAAATCATTCAAGTTAGATCTTTTAAAAAGGCTTATTTAATTTTAATGCTAAAATAGTTTCAAATTTGACATGAGACTGACTAGAATCAAAAATTAAATAGGTTTCACAAAATGAAAAAAAAAAATTGCCAAAATTATTTTTATTATTTCATCTTCCACTGATTAAAATACATTCCATCATTTACTATCTTTTCAACATTGGATATTTTTAGAACATCTCTCAATCATATAGCCTTTATTCATCTCCAGGAAGACAACTCAGCACAAGTTACCATAAACGAGAAATCTGTTCCTTTAGTAGTCCGAATGTTGCAACATCTCGCTTATGCATTTTTTTTTTTTTGTTACATCAGACTACTAGGTAATCTAAGTGAAGGTTTTTTTCTCTTCTAGGTGTTTTGTTAGATTTCTATTAACATCATTAACCCCTTCGTTCTCACTCCCTTAAAAATGACGGGATGAGGTTTCGCCCTCTATTTCTTGCTCTTGTGAAATTTCCGGACTGGAGTGTTCAGTAGTAACGCGCCAATAAGAAATAAAACTAACTCATTTCCTTTGCCCGGAAAATATTTTATTTTTTCTTTTACACACCAGATGGCAGTACCAGGATAATTTTAANTTAATTTTAATGCTAAAATAGTTTCAAATTTGACATGAGACTGACTAGAATCAAAAATTAAATAGGTTTCACAAAATGAAAAAAAAAATTGCCAAAATTATTTTTATTATTTCATCTTCCACTGATTAAAAGACATTCCATCATTTACTATCTTTTCAACATTGGATATTTCTAGAACATCTCTCAATGATATAGCCTTTATTCATCTCCAGGAAGACAACTCAGCACAAGTAACCGTAAACGAGAAATCTGATCCTTTAGTAGTCCGAATGTTGCAACATCTCTCGTGCATATTTTGTTTGTTACATCGAACTACTAGGTGATCTATGTGAAGGTTTTTTCTCTTCTAGGTGTTGTTTCAACACCATTTCTTTGTTAGATTTCTAACAACATCATTAACCCCTTCCTTCTTGCTCCCATTAAAATGACGGGGTGAGGCTTCGCCCTCTATTTCTCGCTCCTGTGAAATTTCAGGACTGGAGTGTTCAGTAGTAACGCGCCAATAAGAACAAACCTAATTCATTTCTTCCGCCCAGAAAACATTTTATTTCTCATTTTATACACCAGATGGCAGTACCAGGATATTTTTAAGGTAGTTGTAGATAGTTTACATTAAACTAGATGTCAGCACTAACCAAATACGTGTATTTGGCAAAATATGCACTTTTATGCCAGTTTCCTTGAAAATTAACCAACCGTTAAGGGGTTAACAAGATTAATTCTCTATCTTTGAAGTTAGATCTTTTAACTTTTACTTAGACATCTTTAGCAATGAACATTCCAGCATCAAAAAAAAAAAAAAAAAAAACACACAAACCTAATTCAGAACTTGATTAAATTTGAAATATATGAGATTAACTTGAATATACTTTGAATCCTTTGATTTCATAATTCCAAGTATTAGTGCTGATGATAAAACAGACAAAGGAAAACAAGTTTAATCGTTTCCCATATATGTTATTTCCTTATCTTAAGAGGCAATTAGGTGAGGCAATAATGCAATAGAAATGGAAGAAACTTCTTACATACTAACTTAGATTGAAAAAAAATTATAAACTTAGTAACAAAATTATCAGAACAGAATACAATTTAATAATCATAGATTCTTTTTACTTCTGTATTGTTAACAAATAAACTTGCTTCATTTCAAACTATATAAAAATAAGGAATATTTCTGTATCAGTACTTGTTAGAAGTGGACTTGTATCAGTGTATCTGATATCCTTTATCCAGTTCTTAAAATTATCAATTACTTTTCAAAATATAAAAAGCAGCAAAATGCCCCGAAATGCATTTAAAAAAAATCAAATCAAAGTAACTAAATCTTAAATATTTAACCCATGAATGCATGAGTAAAGAAAGTAAATAACTGATATGACATAATGAGTGCAAGGGGTCTATCCAGACATCTTGTGAAAGGTCCTGTTGTTGTAAAATTGTGAAAATAAAATAAGCATTAAGTCACATTCTTCCAACCAGGGTCCTGATATTGAGAATTTGTGCAAATAGGGTCCTATTATTGCAAAAATTGCCGAAAACCTTTTCAAGAAGTTTTTAAATTGTAAATAGGTACAAGATTCAACTCAAACAATTGCTGCTACTAAATTAGAGATGCAACATACAAATATTTGATATTTAGCCAATACTGCTCAACACAGAATATTCATTTCGGACGAATAATGGAAACAAAAACCACTCCCATTTTTAATAATTTCAATTGGCATATTTTAAATAACACAACTTAGTAATGTATCACTTTTATTGTGTTACGCATTAAGTAAACTTAAACAATTCTTAAATTTATAATATTTTATTGAAAAAATTGCCAGAAATTAATTTTTATTTACATAATATTCTATTCATTAATTTTATGAATAAATACAAATTGATCAATTATTTATTTACAAAAAAAATTATGATTTAATATTAATAAGAATGCTCACGATGTTTGTAAAAGTAGAAATATTTTCTTAGAATACTACATTTGGAATTTAAACGTAGGGAAACTTAGTTTGTCTCGAACAGTCTTTCTCTCCATCTCCCCCCCCCCTTTAGAAGGGTTTATTCGACTAAAAAAACAATAACAAAGAAATTTGTGAAGGGTTCGTTTTTATGAAAAGATATTTTGTGAAGAGTCTGTTAACGGAATCAAATTTCTTCTAAACAGATCCCTGAGTGCAATATCTACTTACTGTATCAGGTACCATTTCGGTAATAGGAATAACTAGTTTCAGCAGACTCATATTCAAATGGAATTATTCATTTTAAAGTTATCTCAAATTAGTTCCCTTTGAGTTTCTTTCTCTCTCATATTCTGTATTAATGTCTAACAGTTTGCTCTGGATCTGCTTCAAATATCTGATGCTTTACAAATCTTTTCACTAGATCACACATAATGTTGCCAAGTTCCTCGTAATACTTTGTTAAGTTTTTGTGCTTAATTCATATATCTCACATTTTTGAGCTCAATCTGCATAGTTACACATAAATTTTATATTTATTTTTATATATTTCATTTTTAATAAGTGTTAATATTATTTTCTTTGTCAGAAATTGATTTCTTTGGTTTAAATATTTAGAAAAAGTAATTATACATAGTATTTAATTAAACAGTTAGAAACAAAAATTTAGGAGAATAATTATTTTTTACACTTTTTTGGGCATTATGTATGATAAAATATCCGAAAAAGAATTCCAGTTTAACTAAACTGTTTAATTATATATTTTCTTCTATTTGTTACTACAGTAGAGTCCCGATTATCCAAGTTAATGGGGACCGCAACAAACTCGGATAACTGAAAAACTCTGTTGAAGCGAAGAGTATAAAAACAGAAAGAAAAAGAGAAGGTATAAATGTAATATATTTAAAAAATACAAAATGTATAGGAGTAAACCACATACAATTCATATTATAATTAAAAAGCTTACTTAAAAACATTTAAAAAGCATACTTTACGAGAATTAAATAGTTTTTACTTGAAAAAAGTCCTTAATCGTTTTTTGTTTTATGTAACTTTGGCGCTTTTCTGTAGTAATATTTCGCCTTTTTTAGGGATAACAGGAAGGCTGGTGTCGCCTCTTTTTGTTGTTCTATATATTCAATAATACATTCGATAGCTTTTAGCCCATCTGTATGTTGTTTTTATATGTTGATTTTAATAATCACTGTCTTCATCTTCGCTAGATTCATTATCATTATTGACGATATTAACGACAATTTCATTAGACCAAGTTGTTGGATTTTGTTTTTCTGAGTGTTTGGAACATAAAATTCAGATTTATTTTTCAGCTGTTTTTTTAAAAATAAACTGGAACAAAAAAAAATCCTTGAAATATTTGATAGCTCGGTTAAAGCGGAAACTCGGATAACCGGGGCTCGGATAATCGGGACTCTACTGTACTTTAATCTTGACATTATAAAAATACAGCAGCTTGATTTCAATTCTGCACATATTATATTACTGTGCAGAACCTCTTATCCGGAAATCAGAAAACCGGAAAACCAGATAACCGGAATGAAATTCAGAACCCGAAATTAATTTTCTTCCATTCAAAAAATTTTTTTTCCCTACAAGATTTTGAGCCCATTTTGTTATTTAGAGCGTACGGCATATCGAGTTGACAAAAGAACTGATTCAGAGGACGGATGAAAAGCAGTTTGTAGACGAGTCTCACATAAGCACAAATAGCTTATATATGTTAATAATAACATATTTAGGTCTGTATATAATTTTTACTTCATAATTTCTTTCCTTATTTAAACTTAAGTGTATTATTATTTATAATTTTTTATTATTTCTAAAACTATTTTTAAAAAATTTTTTAGTTTCATTTTATAAACATTAAAAAAACTGCATTTTGTAGCGATTCAGAAAACCGGAAAAATCAGTTATCCGGAACAGCGATGGTCCCGATCGTTCCGGATAATCGGTTCTCTACTGTACAAATTTCTACACATATTTCGTGCTAAATGTTTTTTAACATAACATTTGTAATTTTGTATTTGATTTTATTAAACTTTTATTTTATGGCAAAAATTATTTTTAAGTCTACAATTTCAACGAGTTAAAATTCAAAATAAGCTTATTAAACTTTTAGCTCTAAGAAAAAATAGAAATTTTACTTTATTATTCACCCACACTAATATTTAAGAACTAAATTAAAATTGATATGCATCAGGGACTTAAAATATCAGGTACTTAGTTGGTCTAATAGTTGTATCAGTATCAATTTGCACTTGATACCAAAATATTTGTTCTCACCCATTTCTTGTTCCTATCTCGTAACAGTATAACTAATGGTCACCTTTACACTTTTTAAAATTTTTTTTGCAAATGCAAAAACTTATTAATCCCTTAGCGATTATAGTGAGCATGAACAGATACTGAATATAGAAATATGCCTTAAAATATACAATTACACAGAGAGTTACTAGTAAGTTTAAATAAAAACATTAATACACCAAAACATGACCATTTTGTAAACACCACTACCTTATAAATATATAAGAAAATACATAACAACTTTTACCCACTGAAATGCTATAGCTTTGGCAATTTTAAAAATCTACAAACTGATAATCACAAACAGATCTAGATAAAACAATTTATTAATCAAATAGTTTAAATATAACGTGTTAGCATTAAAAAGAAACACAAATCAATAACTTAACAGCAATCTACATTTCATAAATTACACAAAAAGCCCAAATTTGAGTCCTAATTAGAACAACTAAACAATGTTTTACAATCGTAAATGTTTAAATGTAAGAATAAAATTAAGATCTTCATGCTTAAGAACATATGTTTCACTTAAAAACATATAAAACATTACCAAATTGTATAAAAAGTACGTAATATTTTAAGTTAAGAGCTCTAATTAAATTAAGAAAGAACGTAATCCGTTACGAGTTCATTCTCTCCAAAAATATAACCATTTGTTTAAATTTTAATTAAAATATTGACTACTTAAATATGACATAGTTCCTGCCATGAGTTAAACATGAAGGTATTAACTACGTTTGATAATTCAGGTTTGTTGTTAAACAATCTTCTAAACTAAATCATTATAAATATATTCAATTTAATTTGTTTCTGTATTGATCTACGTTTACTGAGTACCTTTGAAACCATGAAGGAGAATAGTCAAATACATAACATTTTAATTCGTATTTAGAGAATTGAGTTTACTTAAACATCACATTGAAATCGTCGACGTGTCAAACATGTATAAACATCTGATATTATGTTATTGTCGATAACTCACCGTACTGCGTCCGGAAAAGCCGTCCTAGGAAAAATTTGACGTTGTGTGCGTATCCAGTTTTCTGAGGTGTTGCTAAAATAATAGAATGACAATATAGTTAATAGGCTTTAATTAAAAATAGGAAATGCGTATTATGATGAATACAAAAGTAGTACTTACTAGCACCGCAGATCCCTTCAAAGTAAAATAGTATCCGTGGCCTACAAAACTAGAAAGATATGAGGAAATACCCTTATGTGTGTAAAGGCTTTTGATTGGCTGATGCTCCTTTCACGTGGAAGCGATCGACAAATGACTTATGTCTGTGGGTACAACCGGCTGAGCAACTGCGCATGCGCTTGAAATGCTTGGCTAGAATTTAATTTTCACCAAATAATTTCGAAAAGTAACCCTGTTGAAGAGATTGCGCGGAGGTATACATAGTTTGTTGCTTACATGTGTAATTAATTGTAGCTTGGATTGCTCTAAGCTCTTTATTTATGATTCATTAAATAAAGTAAGTTAATTGTTTAAATAATTTTTTTCTGTTTATAATATTGTATCAATGTATTTTGAAACGTTTACGACATTTTATAATTCTAATTATCTGTGATAAAGTAGTTAAAGATTTCCACGTTACTGAGTTAGGCTTAGTTGCATATTTGTTTTCCTATTTTATCTTTGATAAAATAGGAAATGTAATATAATATAAAATGTCTGTTAATAAAAGAGTATTATTTTATGTTCTATTTCTTTTATGTGTGTAGAAAATATAATAAATGGTAATTATATGGTTTTAAAAGGTGTCAATGTACCATCATTTACAATTGAAAGGTTATTAATTGTAAATGATGGTATATTGACATTATAATTACTTTTCTTTAAGATTATTTAACCGTATGTAGATTCTTAA